ATGAATACAATATCTCAAAATTAACCAGTGATGGAGAAGTTTCAGATGGTGGTGTGCTGCCCCCTGACTTGTTAGGTTCTATCCACTTAACCCCATGAGATGCTATGACTTAATGAAAACCAACCAAGGAATATAAACAGCCCAACTGATCCTATGATCTAGCCTACACTATTAACTATTTCCTGGTCAAAAAGGACAGAGTACTTTTTACGGTGACCTGCAGAAACAGCCACATTAAAGACTCCCCTGCTAAAGGATTTAGATGCACTGAACCTTTCCTTGGCACGTCACTCCATTTCCCCATCAACCCCATGGTATGAAAACACAGAGTTCAGCCACACCTAGACACGGGGACAAGGCAGGCACTGCTCATATTTAAACATGTGGTGGTGACAGAAATTACATTAACAGATGGGTTTATTCAATAAACTAGGAATTGCAGAAAACTGGCAAGGAAATTGCATATTTTATGCAGCAAAATGCAGAAACTGGAAAAACACACCAATCTAAACATATCTCTAATATTTAATCTGACATTTAAGAGGTTTTATGAAGCTTTACATGCTTTTAAGAGACACTCCAACTGCCATAATCATTACAGCTTATTGGAGTGTTTATAGTTCAAGGAAGCTTTGGCCCTCAAGACATTTTATTTTTTACATTTTTCTGTATTCTCAATCCAAGAACAACATAGCACAACATTGATATGTATCTCATATAAAGTAGAACAACACAACATACTGCATGCCAGAGTATGATATAATCAGTGGGTCGAGTGGTTTGAGTGTTTTAAAATACTAGAAGAAATACAAAAAATAATACAAATATAAAGCTTCCAACTTTATGACCATTTTGCTACAAGTATATGTCAGAAAAATGGAGGGGACAATCTGCTAAAGTAATGTGCAAAAGTATAAGCCTAATGTGGACCTGAAGCTGAATAGCATGTATATTAAAGTAGAAATGCAGGGATCTAAAGAGTATTCAATATATGAAATGTTTGCCTACAGAGACAGACTAACATATACTAAAGCAAAATATTGATTAAATTAAAATTGGAAAGAAAGAAACTGGAGTCCTCCAGACCCCTCAGGTTGATGGATCACTTGAAGGAACACTCCTTGGCACAAATGGTGTTATCTCATCCACAGACCATGTAGGGTGAGACACTGTTGGTATTAACCCCACTGGTAGCCCCAAGAACTGAGAGGTGAGTAAATGGTGCTGCTTTTTTCCACCAAGAGTCTTCAGGCACCCTACTTATTGGAAATTTTCTGTTCTTTAATCAGTTGAGTAACCCACTGGAATGATTGTCTCCATATTATTGTCTGTCTGGATAAATCACAGTAGAGATTGAATTGACTTCCTTCAAAGGACACAAAGAGAGAGCACCTAGCAGCCCGCCATGAGGGATCCTGTACCATAGTCCCGCAAAAATTTAATGAAGGTGTCTCTGAATGCTTCTTGAGAAGCATTTATGTTCCTAAGAAAATTAAAACAGTGATCTATCACTGTTCAGCTTGTTAAGGTGGAAGTACAGTTTGGTGAGTCTGCGGACATAATTAGGAAGTTCCTCATTGGTTATGGCCTCAGGGACCCTCCTTAGCTGTTTGTTTATGGCTTTGGCTCTGTCCTCCATTATTGCCATGCGGCCAACAATTTCCACACACTATTTCTGTAAAGAACAAGGCGTTGCATCAGTAACTGTTGGGCCACCCTGGCACCCCAAAGGTCTTGCTTTACTGCCACGATATGGTTAGTGAGTGCAGAAACCTCCTCCTGAACTATCTCTATGTCCTCCTGGAACATAGCCCTTATGTCTGTTATCAAAGCCTTAATATTAAATTTAGTGGATGGTGCAGTGTCCTCCTGTGCCAGGGGCCCCCTGGGGCTAGGGGTACGTGGGAGTATGCTGGTGTTTGAGTAGTTATGCTATCCTTTTTGTGAGGAAGCAGAAGAGCAGGTCTCTCTAGGCGCTATCTTGGATGTTTCAGGCTATGGAGCCTGCTGCATAAAAGTCTCTATATCTCGGAACCCGGAGTTCGCATCTGCCCGGTGCTTCTTGGACTTCTTCCCCATCTCTGGCAGGAATGTTAGAATCTCAAACCAGAGCAATTCGTGGGTGTCAATCACAATAAACAGTTACACCAAGATTGGCACTATAACATGTAGCTCCGAGAGGGTGCTGGCTCTGCCCCCTCAAGACATTATTATACAGTTTAAGGAAACTCCCAGATTCACAATGGCATATTCTACCTCCTTTGTCTCCTCTAGTTCACTAACCGTGTTACAGGACAATCTCAGTTAGTCAGCACTGGAGGGATTAATGGGGATTTTAGGCAGCCATATTGTTCTAATGAATGCAAATATTTGGATAGGGTAAGTTAATTTTTTAATACACAACTTAGGCCAATTGAGCTAAAATTGTTGTATGTATGTAATCTGTTACAGCACATGACTGTGTAGCCATTTCTACTCATTTTGTTGCTTATTCTCTAATGGATTAGTAGTTTCTTATAAATGGCTGTGCCTATTCCTTAAGTGTAATATATGTCCTCATTATCACGTCAGTGGCAAAGGGGGTGGTTTTTAATGAAAATAGTTTGATAGAAATTGTAATGACTGCATCTACAGCCTCCTTGCACTGTATTCGCTAGTTTATCATATGATCTAATGATTTGGGTGTTTGGAGTGTTCATTTAAATCTGATTTATTGTGGAATGTCCCCGGAAGTACGCTTTTGATGTTTACTTGCACACAGGGCTCAAGTCCTGCAGGAACGTGTAGGAACGGCGTTCCTGCACTTTTTTCACAGCAGGAATGCCGTTTCCCCTGCAGGCACTAGCCAGCGGGGAGGGGGGGCAAAAAATGCTGCCCTCAAATTCCCCCGTGTTCAACCTCTCATGGGGGGGCACCTGATGGACCGGTAGGCGGCTGTCTGTCAGTCAGACGCTGAGAGGGAGCTGTGTTCTAAATATGCTGTGACATTATATTCCAGCTCCCGGCATCAGTAGACAGCCCGCGCAGCATGAGGGAGCAGAGCTGGGTGAACACTTTTTGTGAATGAGTGTATGTGTGTGTGTGTGTGTGTGTTATTGTCTGAGTATGTGTGTCTGTGTGTCTGTGGGTCTGAGTGTCTGAGTATGTGTGTGTGTGTGAGTGTATGTGTGTGTGTGTCTGAGTATGTGTGTGTCTGTGAGTGTATGTGTGTGTGTGTGAGTGTCTGAGTATGTGTGTGTGTGTATTTGTATGTGAGTGTCTGAATATGTGTCTGTGTGTTTTTGTCTGAGTATGTGTGTGTGTGTCTGAGTATGTGTCTGTCTGTGGGTGTGAGAGTGTGTGTGTCTGAGTATGCGTGTATGTATGTGAGTGACTGAGTATGTGTGTGTGTCTGTGAGTGTGTGTGTCTGTGAGTGTATGTGTGTGCTTGAGTGTGTGTCTGTGAGTGTATGTGTGTGTCTGTGTGTTTGTGTGTGTGTGTGTCTGTAAGTGTGTATGTGTGCACACATTTATATATGCATACGAGTGTATAATTTATTTATTTTGGGGAGGGGTGAGGGGTGGTGGATCTTGGCTGAGTTCCCACACTTTTTCCCCCCCGGACTTGACCCATGCTTGCACAAGTGTGAGTGGGCATGGCCTCATGATCTTTCCATTGTTGGGAGCTAGGGTAAACCTAAATTACTACACCTAGATGGGGCATGTGATTCTGTTTTCACTAAAACGTAAATTGATGTTACCCATCATCATCATCAAAATTCATTGTGAAGACAGCAGGGTTCACTTTCAGAAACAATGAGAGCTAAAGGTCACAATCAGGCACTAGGATGTGTCAGTGCTGGTCACAATCAGACACAAGGTCAATATGAAACACAGAGAGGCGTTACAGATCACATTCAGACACAGGGATGTGTGTTGTATCCTTTCAGATTGTGTCCCCTACTCCTTCCAACACACAGGAAGATGCAGATCAGTCAAACCACAAAGTGCCATGAAACACGGGATTCACTACAGACTCTAAAAGGACCCTTTGTATCACTTGTCCCCAGAGCGGCGTCAATCGCTACTAACTTGGACACAAGACGTTCCCTTCCAGTGGTATTTGGAATATCCCTTCTATAATGAACAGTCAGAGCACCAACCCATATACATATTAAAATAACAGGGTCTCATGTGTCCTGACTGCCAGTGAACATTTACAGTAAGACTCTAGTCCCCACCTGATCCCTCAACACACGCAAACATATATACATACATGCTATACCATATGAAATCAAAACAGTATTTTATAAAATCACATATATAATCTATGGGGCTTATTCACTAAACACAAAATTACAGTGATGTGATGTAATGTACTGTTTGTAGTCCATATATCAGATGATGTAACAGTTATAACAGTTAATATATCCAGTATCATAAACGTAAAATAGTATTTGCACAAAATCAACATAAAGATACTAATTTGCACCTGTCTGTAAATGTATAAATCATAAACAGGGCAAATCTGATTTATAGTGCTCAGATGTATTTGGATCTCTGATTAAAATATTTTGATTTTATTATGAGTCTAAATAGCAGAGTCCTTAAAGGACGAAGTTAAGTTGTTATGGTACCAGCAGTGTTCCTTTAATCTATCTGTCCCCTTCACTAATCAGCTATTTTGGCCTGACTTTTGCTATTCAGTTTTCAATTAACCAGCGTACTTTATTTAGTGAAATAATAAACTCATCACATACGTGAAATCCAGAATCCAAAAAAATGTAGGCAAAGACAGCAGATTGGAACAATAATCCGTGTCACGTCTAATTTTAGTTTGGATTTCGCTGTTCGAGTTTCGCTTCATGCTGTCACGACATTGTATTATTTTGTGATCAGTTTACAATGTTGAGAGTTAGCTTGTATTTTCCATGTAACACGTTCCACAGGTCACATAGACTCTAATCCCCAACATTCCAATAAATTGTTAAATTGTGCATTAGGTCAGCTGGCCAGTATATCTCCAAACCTCTCAGCTCCTTCTATCCCACCATCCTTCTAACACTCTCATTCACTTAACATCATCCCCTTGCAATTCTCTGCTCTGTCCCTGCATCCCTCTGACTCCTGTCACATCCTTATCTCTGCTCCCTCACCCCACCCCTCTTCCATCTGACCCCCTCTCCTCACTCCCCTCAATCAGACTTCCTCTCCCTAACAAACTCCTTCTCTCTTTCGCCAGTCCCTCTCTCTCTTCTTCCACAAGCTAATTCTTTATGCTCAGCATCTTGCTCCTGGATTTGACTGCCATCAGCTGTTTTCCCATCTGAAGGATGTTTGAAAGAGAACCCAGCACACACACAGGGGCAGTTACAGTGTGATTTGAGGGAGCTGGAGGAAGATTAGGGTTTAGAATCAGGATAGCAGAGAAGTGGTCTGAATATATTGGAAACATGCATCTCGTCCATCACTTTCACTGTAGCCTCCTCTTCCTAGGTGAGTACTTTTACATCAATTCTCTAACCTAATAGCTAGGAGTCTACATTATCATGGGTCCCAATCTCAACTTCAGCTCACTGTCTCAGATCTACTTCTTTAGATCACACTTTAAACATTAGTGGTGATGCTTCCTTCTGTGTCTCTGTCTGTCTTTAACATACTGTATGTGTCATATCTCCCAGTGTAGGTTTAAGCAGTATGCATTGTGGGTCTGCTACTCTATTATCATATAATGCTTTATGTAGACTATGAGATAGATGTGACAGTAAGATGTCTGTACCAAGTGTTGGTATTATGTATTATGTGAATATATGGACATATGTCTGTGAACTTGTGCATCTATGTTGTATAATTCATAAACCTTTAGTCTATAGATGCTTGTTATGAGATATGTTATATTTGTTATGGCTCTTTTATGGTATATGTATTTTTTTTTTTTAAATTAATTACTCATTACTGCCTTTAAATGGTGTTAGATATACAGAGGCTTTAAGTCATGCTAAACTTATGAATAGCATGAACTAGGCATGTAACTGTATGTTATTAGTTATACACCCCTCTAAAGTGGATGTCTAAAATAATTCTCTTAAAAGTGAATTCACTAGAAATGCAAGATAAATTACAGCCCCTCTTAGCCAGTACAAAATAATGTAAAAAAATGGACTCATGGACACTGAATTAGTGATAATTGTTTAATTTCTTAAATTCATATATATATATATTTAATGGTGCAAAGTGAAGATAAAATATGGGTTTCTCTGTTTTCTTTCTGTTTATCAGTAGCAAACTTTTCTGTAGAGTTATATTTCAATACACTTTAAATTGTCATAGAGGACCACTTTCATTATAATGTATCTAAGATGCATGTGATATATTATTATAATTGTAAAAATTTGGTCTATTTGCTTTTGTATTACAGCCTAGGTTATGTGTGTGTGAAACTACATTAGTTTATATTCGTTACTATTTTGCTGAATATATTGTTTAACATGTAGTTATCATTATAAAAGATCTAGGTATCTCCGATACAATAAATGTAACATCTTTCTTAGTATATTTGTATTACACCTGATATAGAATTGTCTTGCCATGTGTAATTTAGATAGAATGTGTGTGCATGTGTGTATTTGAATTACTGTAGTTAGGACATTCTTGTGCAAATTATATACAGCCTATGTCTGTGCCTGTCTGAATGTGTCTGATAGTATGCCTTATATAGAATGTGTTTGTAGCTTTCTGTATTACAGTATACATTGTATGAATGTGTGTATAGAGTCAGGCTACAGAGCACACATCTCTATGTGTATATGTATTATAGTATATGTGATGGACTGTGGGTATCTATATTATAGTTTTTTTAATAGTTTATATAACATCAATGTTTCTGTGAGTATCTGTGTTATATAGCATTTTGTGGTGGAAATAGCCTCATATTAGTGTGGTGTACGAAGGCACTTGCCTAATGGTAAATCTGGCCCTGGGTGTGTACCTGTCTTCCAGTGAAAGCTTACACTGAGCAATTTCCTTATATTTATTATAATTGTATCATACTCTTGCATGTAGAAATTATTAGCAGAACAAAACCGTTGTATAAAACTATTTTACTATCAAAAGGGTACATGCAATAAGCAATTAATTATCTCCTGTTCTGGCTGATTCAATAGGTTTATCTCATAACCTTTGCATATACCCTCACAGTCATGGATTGACAGTCGTGCAAACATGTCCACATCTGGCTGTTGTATTTACTTGCACGCAAGCACACCACACATATGCACACACATTTAATGTTGAGCATTTCATAACTGGGATGTAAGCATCACCTAATAGCTAGGTTGTGCTTTAAGTAATAAAAAATTTAGTCTGTTTATATTTTCATTTGCGCATCCAATACGTGCAATGTTTCGTAAACATGGGCGTATGCATGTGTACAGCACAATGAAAAGAATACACAAGCATATGTCGTATGGCATTTCTGTGCAGCTGTCTGAGAGTGCAAAAGCACACCCATAACATCATGGGGCATTGACATGACACTGGACACAGATGTCCTTCAGAGGTAAGTGGGGTTCTCAGTTACTTCTGTTTTGTTTTAATCACCCCACTTCAATAACCTATAAGGTAAGAGGTAAGGTAAGAGCATAAGGGACTACTGTCCAGGTAAGTGACATTATGACAAACAATTAAAAAACTACAATTACAAATACGGCCATTGAATGACCTGTAATGTAACAGGCTGAAATTATTGACAGAACAGCCATTTGAAAGACTTGAAAAACTGTATATAAAAACACAGAGCTCCAAGCCTCCACAACATCTTCTCCCATCTCACCAATTTGCTGTTTTCCAAAATCATTTTTTCACTTGGACTTAAATGTTTGAGTCACCACATCTGCCTCATCACCTATTATTCCGATTACTGGTTTCTATTCATTTTCGTTTCCTATATCCAAAAGCCTTAATCAGGTTCCTCCTTTATATTTTAATATCTTTAAGATATTATACCTGAAATCCTTTCGTCTGTATATCTTATCTCCATCTAACATGGTTCTCTTTTTACTTTGCAACCATTTTAATATTCTCAGGTACCCTATCTCTAAACGTGTAGCTTACTGGCTGTCATGCCTGACACAGCAAATATGTATCACACATTACATATGGATTGCGCTAGAGGGATTGTGATGCTGACAGCTTCATTGCTTTGACCTTTGAACTGGAGACATTGATCAGGCATCATTAGCGGTGACTAATTATCATGAAGATATTTTCTTGTTTTGTGGGGGTGTTTGGCAGGCTCGTTACATAGTGAAATAAAATTATTCTATTAGGTTTTTGCTGATATGGAAATTATTTCTAAATCCATGGTCTGAGTTCTTTACTTGCCATTGTGACTGGAAAGTGTTTGAAAGTCTTCCTATTCCAGGTATCTCCTAGGTATGAAATTGACCAAACTTAGGAGAAGTTGATAAAATGTAATGCATTGGTCTAGGTTGTATTCAAATACATTTAAAACAGTGTCTTTCAAATGTGCATTTTAAATGTCTCCAATAAAGAGTGGACATATGTCCACTGGAAAAAAATATATTGTTACAACTACTTACACTAAGGTAAGATCAAGTTTAAGGAGATTTACGGTTGGGGTAGATGGATATTAGGGGTTATGGGATAGATGGGTTAGGGGGATATTTAAGGTTGGAGTAACAGTTGATTGGGGTTAAGATGGACTTAGCTGAAGTTGCTGCCATTGGTACCTCCCATGATCCTCAGTCAGACTCAGTGACCCCCTAACACTTACAGGATTATTCACTAATGTGCGAATCGTGAGGAATTTAAAGATAATTCAAAATTTTAGGTCAAAATAGGCAAACTGAAAATATATCTGACCTTTAAGATTTTTTTTTTCAATTTTTGGGCTAAAAGCATTTTCTTTGAATGCACTTTGCATTACTATATGCTAATGAATGACCTTACCCTAACTCCCTCTTACACTACTTCATCCCTAAGCCCTCAAACCTATGCTTACCTTAGTGGCATCCTATGTAATGGTGTGCCATTATAGGACTACAGCACCATTATCCTATTCATCGATGCCTTTTTAAGTAGACTTTTCAAAGCCATGTTTTTGAAAATAAACTGCATTATTTATACCCTGATTAGATTAATATCCTTATTACCAATATGCAGCAGACTAATAGGTGCATCTATACCATATTTCATGTATTGATCTATTTCATAACGGTAATGATGAAATTTATGCAACATTGAATGTCTTCAGTATTTTGGATAGTTATTCATTTGTTCCTGACTTTTCAATCAGCCTATACATTGTTTCCTCAGTATTTCAGCCACTGAAAGGAATGGTGAGCCATCAGTTATTGTCTGATCGACTGCTGGCTCAAATTCATGACAATATCTTTCCCTCCTCTTACAGAATGATTGCTTAAAACAGACCTTTATTTAAGCAATATGTGTTCAGTGCCAAGTAAAATACACAACTGTCTGGCAATCAATTCTTGCAGTGTCTCAACGCTTCTTTTTAATTGAAGAATCTGTGTATTTTTTTATCCAGATTAAACGCTTTATTGTAGGCTGAAATGCCTGAAAAAAAACCCCACAAGTTTTATAATGCTGTTTTAAAAAAAGGAAAATTGTGCAAAAAACAGAGCTCACATGTAAGAGAACTAAACTGTGCAGAAAAATCTGGGAATATATTGAGTTTGCTCGTGGGCACTACGGTTTCCTTTACAGCTGCAGTGTTGAGTGGTAAAATGGTCGGCACAGTTTAAAATGATACATACTTTGTATGTGATCAACATGTTTTCTTTGTTGAAAAGCTTTCTCAAGATGGTATTGATGTATAAGGAGGCTCTTCATTTAGTAACTGTCACATTGATATTTCACCACTTAAATCTGCAACATAACAGCAGACCACCAAGAACATAGTTATAGGAACAAAGGGACTCTTTTTCCATCAAATTACAGAGCGACATTTCATTTTTTTTTTTTTTTATATGCACATTTAGCCTGATGAAGGGCTTAATGGGCCTGGATCTACAAATTGTGATAAGGCTAATTACCTAGCTTACCACATTGAAAAACATGCAACAACCTTGTTAAAAAAATTAATAAAAGAAATATTTGAATTTTAAATTGGGGAAATGGAAATTATATTAAGGTTTTAAACTAAATTGTGAGCTGTAATTATCTTGAGTATAATTATTTTTACAATCCACTGTATTCTGTAGGGCTTTACAGTGCTATTTTAAATACAGTAAGTAAAGGACAAACAAGTTAAGACAGAAACCAGAAACAGTAGGTGCAAAGGGTCCCGCTGAACAATATTACAATCTAGAGGAAGTGGTGTATAAAACCCCAGGGTGAAGAGCAATGTATCTAAAAATGGAAGAGAGATAGGCAGGTTACATTTACATCTATGAAGCATATGTAAATATTGATCGAGTACTGGAGAAAAGTTTGGAGACAGAAGAAAATTCTAACTTGACATGATTTGGAATCCCACGTGGCCCTTGAGGTGTCTTGTATTGTCAGTTCTTTTGACTAGGCCTACACAATCTCTAGTTTCTGTAAGTCAAACTTGACTTGTTGAATATTTATGTACCGGTATGTCTTCTCCACCCTTGCACAGCACTGCACAGTATATTCGCACTTAATAAATGATAACAAACGGTCACTCTTTGTATAATCACAAAGTTAATGGTACAGACAGCCTCTCAGAGCTCAGGCAGCCAAAATGCTAAGGTTGCCCAAAGTCAAATCTGTTCAAGTTGTGTGTTCAGGATGCACTTTAATGTTTAGTAGCTTTTTCCCTTTTCATTCAGAGTCCACTGGAAGCCACCACTGAATAATGTAAGCATGAAACTACCAATGCCTGTGCACCCTCTGGTTGCAGATGCATTCATACTGATCCTGCGTACCATTTTGGCATCAGTTTGAAAATGGACTGCATTATATGCCTTGAAACCTGCATCATTTTCAGGCACCAGTCCGGTCCTCGCCACTACAGTTACTCTAATTGTTACCTGAGAGTGAGTTTTTGCTTGTGGTGTGCAATTTTGTTATTGACTATTCTGACCTCTGAAATCACTTATTTTGGCTCTGTTTTACTGTTCTCTTACTGTTCTCTTGTTTGCTTGCAGACTGTATTCTAAACTTTCAAACATTTAGCCCAGCCACCCAAATGCTGGGCATAATGTCTTTCCTGTAATATTGGATGCTCATAGCCCTGAGGTTTGCATGTTGGGGGGGGGGAGGTGGGGGTCTAGACTTTACAGGAATTTAGGATGTAGGGGGAATCCCTGCTCAATATTAGTGCTCTTCACCCCAATGCACATGAGGTAAAGAGCAGGGATACTCATCATGTAACCCGTAACCTAATTAATGACACAGGAGGGCCATGTTTTTTTTGTTTTGTTTTTTTGTTTTTCAAGCATTGTTGGAACTACTCATATTTGTTTGAATGAGGAGACCATTTGTGACTTGTTCATCCTTATAAGAGGACTCTCAGGATCCCCAAATGGTTGAATTATTGTTCTACCCTATTGTTTGATTCAGTGCTCTATTTGATGGTCCTCAGCTCCCAGTTTTAGTTTGATTTAATGTAAGAGGCAGCTATTTCTTCTGAGACTTGAAATCATAGCTTGAAAATAGATCCGAATGGTTTGAAAGGGTTACATCAAGTCCCTTCCCAGATTCGTTTGTGAATAAACCAATGTTTGGTTGTATGTATGGTCAATACTCTGTGGTTGGATATGGACATTATAAGAATGATGATATTGACAAAATTATACAGCTCTGATCATCTATGTCATTTCACATCAAGATAACACTTTAGTAGCCTTTCTCTTGCAATAAATCCTTAAGAATATTGTGAAATATATGTTTACTGAAGGATGGTTATCAATTACTAAATCCAAACAGACACATAAAAAAATCACAGGTGGTAAATATGGAAACATAGCTAACATAAACAGGTAGCATCTTTAATGTTCTCAAAATAACATCCATTCATGCAAAGACCAATCCTTACAAAATCCACATATTTATCTGGACTCTATGTTCTTAACAATATTTATCTAGCTTGGTTCCATAAATCCTCAAAATATGCTCTGAGGTCATGAGTAAAAAAACAGAGGAACGGCAATGTTGGAACAGCTTTGAAGATTGAAAGTGAGAGAAAGTTTGCGAGTAAAAGTGAGGAATAAGTTATAATCAGATAATAAAGGTAATGATGCCCAAACATTTCATAAGTGGTGGACTATGTTCTTCATGATGCTTAACCAATCAGTCCAAATAATGGGTATACAAGGGCTAATAAACAACAGATTTCTCCCCTAAAGGACTACCTAGCTTCCCCTTTGCTATTGCACTGGTTTTTTTTTACTTGTAGAGGTAAGAATATGTCTGTCAGGAGTTGCGTGGTTAAGGGAGATGTGACTAAACTCCTCTAAATCATGATGTACTGACATTTGTGATGGAATTCCTCCACCTAGTATTATGTCAAATACAAAGGATGTACACCAGTCAGTGACTTAAATCACTATATGTATAATTAATGGTGACATATGGGACCACTGTTATATTACATGGCCATATAATGGTTTGCGTGACAGTAGTCACGGTTTGGCAGGTTCTCACATACATTTTATTGTTTGTTTGGAAGACTATTTTACTACACTGTGTTATGTACATGAATCCAAGTTAGCACTGGCCTACATATAGCGGTCGCAGTTGCGACCGTGACGGTTATTCCAGGGGGCCCGGCCGCCCTGCAGACCCCTGCGACCAGGTGCACGCCATCATCATTTGCGGCCACGGCCCACGCGGCAAACTGCCAGGGGGCCGGATTTTATGATGCCCATCAGGTGGCCCGTGCTGCCAGGGCCACCCAATGGGAATGGATTTCCAGGGGGCGCATTCAGCGCTGGGTGCTTTAACAGCGTGACCGGGCACCCTGTGATGAGAGCCCGCGCGGGAGAAAGCAGAGAGAGTCAGATTAGGAACTTTGACTCCCATCAACCTGAGCCACCACTGGACCCCAGGGAAAGTCACCTGTGTTTGTATGTATGTATGTGTCTGTGTCTTTCTGTCTGTATGTATATGTGCCTGTCTGTTAGTATGTGTGTATGTGTCTGTCTGTATGTGTCTGTCTATCTGTATGTATGTGTGCCTGTCTGTTTGTATGTATGTGTCTTTGTATGTATGTGTGCCTTGTGTGTGTCTGTATTTATGTGTGTGTGTGTGTCTGTCTGTCTGTATGTGTGTGTCTGTATGTGTGTCTGTCTGTATGTATGTGTCTGTGTCTTTCTGTCTGTATGCATGTGTGCCTGTCTGTTTTTATGTATGTGTGTGTCTTTGTATGTATGTTTGTCGTGTGTCTGTATGTATGTATGTGTGTGTGTATGTCTGTGTGCCTGTCTGTTTGTATGTATGTGTCGTGTGTGAATGTATGTGTCTGTATGTAACTGTCTGTGTCTGTATGTATGTGTGTGTGTGTGTGTCTGTCGGGGGGAGGAGTTAGAGGGGGAGAGGGAGGGAGGGGGTGACCCCATGGACCAGTTTCGCACCGGGGCCCCAAAGGTTGTGTGTACGGCACTGCAAGTTAGCATTATTTATTCAACACATCTTAAGGCTGTTCCACTACATTTACATCAGCACTTGAACCAGATTCTTGGTAAAACTATATAAGCAACACAATTAGTTTATAACTTGCCAGAAAGTGGGTACTTAACCATAGTCGAAAGTATTGCACACACGCAATGGTGAAATACATTTAAAAAAATTTAATTTGTTAATATGTGTATCATTCCTGCCAATGTTATTTTGGGCATTTTGGTTATTTCAACTGGCTGACTTTCAATGTCCATCAGATTAATGAGGAATTACAGTGAAAAGTGCTGATAATACCACTATCCAAATTATCTCCAGTTTGATACAAATTATCATGGAACTGGGAATGAATAACACACCGTCTGCTTTTCAATCACGAAAAGACTTGAAAAATTTATAAAAGACACCAACTGGAGGTTTCTGTTATCTTACTCACTACTCTACAAGCAAAAAGCATACATTCCAAGTGTTCCTATTTAGGAAGGACAGTCCCTATTTTGGGCCTAAATCCCCCTGTCTCTATTCTATCCTAATGTCAATCTTTTCTATGAGCTCCACATTGTTGGTGTGTCTGAGTGTATAACAGGGCTCCAAAGCAATAATACTCTGAGTCTTTAAACTACAATACATTTGTTTAGCAATTAGTCTGTATAAATAAGATACATTGTTCTTGCCATAAATTATATTTTAGTTGCTTAAAGTGTTATTCATAAGTCACATACAATTTCTCTGGGCTGCCCTTGTCCACCCCAACACGTCGAAATGAAAGTGTCCATTTGAAGGAGGTATAAAAAAAGAAGTGAAATTATGAGTTTTATTAGTTTTTAATAGCCAATTAGTTTCATTCATTTTTTTTTTTTTTAAAGAACTAAGCTGCAAATATGTATAGCAGCTGTACAGTATGTCTCCTGGATAACTCTGATATTGTCTGTACAAGTTAAGGATTATTATTGCATGCTGATGCTGCAAGTGTGCCTGTCTTACAGCACCGTGTATGGTCAAGGGAAAGCAATGCTTCCCCCTGTGACATTTCAGTGGGGGCTGAATGAGCATGTAGCTGCAGCAATATTAGAAAATCATTGCAGATAAAAAGAGACAGAAGCAGGGTTCTCCTGATTCTTGGATAATTATAGTGCTTGTGATGTCCTATTAAATAGTCACTTGAACATTTTCAGAACATTTTCGTATGTTTTTATTAAGATTTTGCACATGTTAAACATAGACAAATATCAATAAAGAGCATCTGTGCAACATATGAGTATCTAGAAATGTATATATACGCACTTCAAAATAACAGATGCTGCTTAATAGTAATTACATAGATTCCTAATGCCAGAACCATAATAGCAAACATCAAGACTACTTTTAATTTTTTTCTATTTGAAAGTAACCAAGCTATATATAAAGAAACAATGAGTCTGGTGGCAGTCTATCCGCAAGTACCTTGGGTGTCATCACCAAGGTCCCCTTTTTCCTTAGTGATTAGCTCTGGGAGTGATTATAGCCTATTTCCAAACATTAGTCGAGGCTTAATGTCATGGTGAAATCCGATTGGTTTATTGTCAGGAATGTTGCCTTTTTATACCTGGGTTCCCAACAGGGGGACACCAGAAGAACATTAGGGATTCCATAATACCTGGCACCTAGGTGTCTGTAGCTTACCAGTTACTTTTATTAGCGCACAGAGCTACCTTGGAGCCAAATAACAATTTTATACAATAAACTGGGTTCCCATGCCGCATCTCCTAACCAATGCCATGCCCAGAAATCTCTCTCCTGAGTGCCCACTGTGTCCAAAAAGCACTCGTATCAGAGGTGTGTAGCCTACAGTAAGGATGCTTGACTGGGCCGCAAGCATCCTCCAATCCAGCACAGAGTTCCACAACGCTGAGTGGGAAGTCCCGGTCACCTTCAATTGTGGCGCTTGCAGTCTCTTCTTGGTATGGTTCGATGCCTCACCACCTACTCTATCACTCCTCAAAATAGTGCTCTTTTTGGTGACTCTGGGATTGAGAGTGCCCTCAACAAAGTTATACTGGATCACAGTGGCTCTGTGATCCAATTAGGAGTTCCAGAGTGTTTACGGGTTGCATTCGGTCAGGTTCACCGTGGCTCTGTGAATTCTGCCACAGCCGATGCTGTCTCCTGGGTCGCTGGGAAGCCCTTCTGGAGGGGCAAACGTAGGTGATTATATTACGGGCAATTATATTACTTTTAGAGGGAGGTGGTGGTTGGGGTGTGCAAGTCCTAGGTGACTAGGTGATCTGTCACAAGTCTGAACTGTGTGAATAGAATATCCACAGGCATAGGGCTGTGAAAGAATACTCTGGCTCATGCACTGGCTCATGCACTTCATCTCAAAATCTAAACCACTTAAATGTTTTCCTATTTTATAACAGCTATGAGCGTCTCCTGTTTGTTTTGCAGATAATTGTGCCTCTTGTCTATGTTATATACAAATATTAATATTTCTGTTGCAATAACACAAATAGCAACGGGAAGACATTTGGCTTCAGTAAATGTTTGCCTTATTTTGCAATGTCTACTAGAACTGAGAAATAAATGCTTAAAGGAACACTTTAGTGTTAGAAATACAAAGATTTATTCCTAACACTATAGTGTCCCTCTGCCAAATTACAATTTAAAGTGATGATAAGCCACTATTGACTCTCAACTGGGTGGTTAGCAGAGTAGAAAATATATTCTTTAAATAGGGGGTCACTCCTAGCACCATAACCACTATAGTTCAATATAGTGATTGTGTTGCATTGAGTTTTTGTGTACGGTTTCCCAGTTTCTGTTAAAAAAAACTTGTGAAGGGAAATATGGTGGTTTCTTTCCTTCAATGACCAGGCACTTTGCTGTGACTTGGCTAATGCAGAAGTAAACATTTTGACTTGTTTCTCTCAACTGATTGGTTGAGAGCCCAGGGCTAGTGCTTTTAGTGTACCAATAAGTAGCTGTTTCGTATTTGGTTGGAATTATGGCTGATTTCGGATTTAGTAACAAGATTAGTGACTCTTGACTCCATGTTAAAGAGACACTCTGGGCTCCAAAAGAACCAGCGTGCATCTCATAGCTCTTGAACTAAATATTTAGCCGTATGTCTTCACATGCTCAGTTTTGCATAGTAGTTGAAAAAAAATGCTTCAAAGCATTCTACATTTTAGTCACCCCATCTATATGTTCTAAAATAAATCCTACTTGCTGGTTACTGCACTTCAGTATATGATATCACCGTTAGGTCACCGACAGTAACCAGTGCTGAAACACTGGCATCATTGTAGAAAGCAAATACCTTTGTGTCCTCTTGTCACTTGTCCGTGCCTATAATATTATTTCACACTGGCTGCAGTGAAAGATATGTTGGCTATTACAGTTATTTATTCTGGGTATGTTTTTGTTAATGAGTCTTTTTTTTTTTTAATAAATACCTTTGCTCCATTAGCTCATGTTTTCTGTTCCTTTTTCTTAATCTGTGTTTCTCTTTTTACCCCAGTCACATAGCCATTGCTGTACATGTCATCAGGTAGCACAGCAGGGATATCTGGAGATTTTAACATCACTGCTTAAATATGTAAAACGCTCACATGTGAACTAAACTTCATGGAACCCCACTGCTCTGCCCATAACATTCTGTGATTTATGTGATAAAGTCAGAACTTAATGTTGCATCCTAATTGGCTGTTCTCTTTCTGGTCATGGTAGTTGTGATAAAAATGTATATGTTACTGGGGGACTTATTAAAGAGGTGGTGTAACTTCCCAGGATTGGTATTATGTTTACTTATCCCCTACATTTCAGAAAGATATATATGTGTAGGAGTCTGAAAATAAAATAAAAAATATTATTTGATACTGCTCTATCCTGGGAATGAGTTCCATCTTAGCTCCTTGTCAATCAAGACATGCGCATAGTCGTCGGCATCTTAATAACATAACCCTTATAAAAAACCCTATTCCCATAAAACACAGACACCCTGAAGTTGGGTTAAATTTATCACAGCTTTATTTAAAATATTTAAACTTGTATTTAATAATTAAAGGTCATTGTCAACAACACATAACACATTAATAATTACATAAAGGTCATTGTTAATGAAATCACAGCACCATAACTTTAACCCCAGACAATGACCCTGCCATAAATAACATCAATACATCCATATAAACATATAACATTAATATAACACAAACAGTTAACGCAGCCACCAAGGGCATCCATTTCCACTTGTAGGGTATTCCAAGATACCCCTACACACCCAGGTTACGAGCTACCGAGGAGCTGGAACCTACCAAAACCAAATCAAACATCCTATTGCTCCTGAATTTAAAATATATCCCACCTATTCAGCCCACCTACCCCCCAATTTCTCTCTCCAAACCCCGGCCGCCGTGACCAAACAGGGGAAGAACTAACCCACAATATACAGCCAAAACAAATTAGGGAGGGAGGATGGGCCAGATACCGGTAGGTGAAAATTTTCAATTAGAATGGTTTATCACCTAAAATGGCTGCTATATATATATCACCTCAAAGCCCCGCCCCCTTGACTAGGTGACAAGACTCAAATTTTGTAGCACTTGGTGTGTCCTCTACCGTAACACTGGACTCCAAGAAAGAAATTAATTATGCAGCATCCCTCATATAGAGCTCTGCAGCCTGGGAAACCACATTTTTAGCATACGGTACCTCCAAGTATTCTCTAAAGGATTATCTAACTAATCTGACAGAATGCAGTGATATTCATTACATCTATCTATCTCTCTACCTACCTATCTATCTATCTATATATTTGTGATTGAATATATGATTAAATTGCATGTACATATTCATGGATGGGAGGGGGCCAGTGCTCTGCATGTCTCCTTTGGATGCAACATAGCACACAATATATTTTGATTGAACGAATAACAAGCTTCTCAGTGTGATACACGTGGAAAATTACTGGGTATCCAGTTATCTCCCCTGTTTTTACTCCAAACTGCATGTTTTATGCTCTACGGTTCTGTGGAAAGAGATCGTCAGAGTATAGTCTGTATACAATTTAAGTTTGTTTATATCTATACATTTTTATACATATATGCAGAAAGATTTATAAATGTATGTGTCATGTCTATAAACATCTATCCTTTTCATTTATTTGCATCAAAGACCCCTTTAGTTAACGGGAAATATTGACATTTACTGAGGCTTTACAACAGAAAGTGGATCAAGTAAGCTTAGGGTTCATGTTAAGGGTTAGAACACATGCCAGCCTTTCCTGAGATCCAGATGTGACAAAAGTTCTTTCCTTATAGATGGCTATCCTGAAGAAAAGGTACAACACCTCCTAATGTGTCTTCCACTTTCCTACGTCTGGTAGAACACTGAGGGAGCAGTATTGTTGTAAGGTAGGCAAGCCAATCGTACCCACTAGCATATGAAGAGCAGGGGGCCATCATGCTTTACGAAATATATTTGAAAAAGGGGGGTGGAGACACATATAAAATAGCATGTGGAGAAGGGCGGCAGAGTAGAAAATTGGAGCAGTATATATTAAATGGAGGGACTGTAATCATAACAGTTGCCGTTACCAGATGATAATGTGAAAATCCATGGTATGAACCCGTATGTGTTACTGTGTGAAAAAGATGAGAAATATATTAATGGAGGGTTTCTTCCTTCGTTACTTAGCGATTAATAGAATAATATTTCAGAGAAGAGGGCAAAGAAATTCAACGGAGAAAAGAAACTGAAGCATATAAGCATACTTGCTGTTTAAAAATGTCTGTGCTTTTGAATTTTTTTTTTATTAAGAATAGTTACTATTGTGATTTTTTTTTGGTGTGGATGTATTAACTACATATTTATATATGTTTAACCTGTGAGGTCAGGTTGCTTACAAATGTTATATGTAGGTGTAAACAATGTTTAAAAAAAAAATAAAAAAAAAAATAGTAAAATAAAACGATCAAAAATGAATAAACTCAAAGTTACCTCATAGTGAACACCAACATAGAAGATATTGAATTGTTACTTTGGCACAGGGCTATTTAATGTTTTATATTTGCCTTTACAAACCATGTGTTTGAAGCATGCTATCTAAGAGGGTATTGGGTTTTCTTTGTCAAAGGCTCTCCCCTCTTTTGGCATTGCTCTTCCAATGGTAATTTGGTTGCAACCTATCTGCACTCATGTTGCACTTATTAAAAACCATGTTTAATGCTGAGTTTGAAATATCCTCAAAAGTTAAAGGATTCCAGAATGTCATTAGGAACATTTTGTGTATAACACGGTCTACAGAAATTCCTTGTATTGAAATTGAATTCATTTGTATATAGTAATCATTCATATCCCTTTGCAGGCGCCTCTGTTACCGTATAAACACACCCAATTTGGAAAGCCTGGCTTCAAAACGGAGAACTTCCATTCCTGTAATAGTTTGTTTTGCCAATCTCTAAACCAAACTGGAACTTTCTCCATTTATAGCAAGTTTAGTGACCCCCTATATTTCTCTCTTTAACCAGTTTTCCTCCAAGTATAACATCGTTCTCTGGCCTAGGTCTATACATGTAATTCACAAAGTGAACTTTTATTCTAAGTAGATCCGATATACTGCCCCAAACTGTATTATATTGTGTCTTTCTCTCCCAAAGAAAAGTACATTCACATGACTTATTACTCATAAAACCCCTCTTATGACACTTTTGGATAAAACAAGTTCATTGTTTTGTAGAACTGCAGTTTAATCTATTTGTGTGTTATGTGAGTCACTTTGAATATGGGCTATTTTTTATTCTTTCTGGTTAAGAGGGACAATGTACCAAGTCTCACGGTACCTAATGCTGCAGTATTTACCCAGTATTTACCAACAGGTTTACTCCAATTATATGTATCTTTAGAATTAATAAAACAAGGTCTTTATTTCCACTGGTAGACGCTGCCCCACTCTCTTCCTTCTCTTTAAGGTAATTTCTATCAAATTTGAGCAGGTTATTGTGGACAATTTCCAAAGGAACTCCAGATTTGAGTCTAACTGAATCTAAACGTTTTAATGATGCTGAACCTGTGGCAAGGTGGTACTCCATATCTGCCTATACGGTGGGCATCAAGTCAAAAGGCCCAAGGAAATGCCGCATAATGTTCAATGCATCAAGACATCTCATATGGAAATCTGTCACATCTAAGGTTCAAAACAGCACAACTTTGAGATATTGTACTTGCAGAGAGTGAAAGGGGTAAAGAGTGTATGTTAAAAGAGGAATAACCAAAGGAAAGAAAGAAGAAAAGGTAGAGCTGATATAGAAGGGAAACAGGGAGAACTAAGATGGAAGGAGTGAGGGCAGATGTAGTAAGGGTAAATCATATGGATGGAACAACATTGAGGTTTTGATGGAGGGCAATGATGCAGGTAGTGTTATTTTGTCATGAATGGGTAAGTTAAATGAGGAATGAGAAAAACAACAAATTGTTAAAGGGATTTAATTGAGTAAAAGGTAAGCAAAAATAGCCTGGCAACTTTCAGATCTGTGACTCGATTTGTGGAAAAAATAGGCTCAACCTTACAATGGCTTTCTATCACATATGTTTTTTCAGTAACCCCCCTGGACTCAGCTTAGCTCAGTCTCGTGGTAGGCCTAGCAAAAACTGAAAATCTGTCTCAGTAAGATGAATGTTCTTGTTTTAGGTATGTATGTGCATTACATTTATATAGTGCTGAGTTCTAACATACCTAAACTAGGCCTCTATAGGTTACATTGTGTAAGGTGAAGTAAGGACACTGATTACAAATCCGTTATAAAAGATGTAGAATACTTAAGTCTCAGGTTATCATAAGTGAGGGTGTCCCTGCCCCTTACATCTTTTTTTATCAGTTCTCAGTGGTAACAGGATTATTATCATTGACACACGATATTTTTCAAGTCTTTTAGAGTTGATACGTGACTGGGTAAACATTGGTGGAATAAACTCTCATGTTAACTCTTTTAACTTGAGACTGGTGTTTTGTATCTATCATATTATTCTACAGTACACATGTTCATTAAAGGAGCACTAATGTGTTTGGAACACAAAACATATTCCTTACACTAGTGTCCCTCTGCTTCCAGTGCCACACCCTCCACCGCCGACCCATCCCCGCACAGTTCTTACCTGATTTCAGTGTCGAAGTCCCTTGGCACTGGATTGGGCTCCTAATCTGGGAGCCAAATGCACATGAGCGACAAGAGCCACGTGCAAATCAATGCTTTCCTTTGGGTTTTTTTTTTTTTAATTCTTTATTTTGTAATGCAAAATATTTTCACACAAGCATGTGCTGCCAGTTCAGAATTATCAAGCTTTGATTCAGTATATCTGGTGTGGCATTAGCATGCAACAGAGAAACATTGCACATCTTTTCAGTAAGGAATAACAGGAACAGTAAACTATTTGGTTAGTCACATCTACATAGTGGAATTGGCCAAGTGGGGCCGAAATGCTCTTGTCAAGTGCGAGAATTCATGGGCTGGGATTGTTGTTGTTCTGTTGTATGCGACTATGTAGTCTGTGTAATAGAATTTAGACTCTACTAAGTAACAAGCTAGTTGTAGAAGAGCGAATGCTGGGCAGGCAGGGTGGTTCTTAGGCACTATGGTGTCCTGTAACAGCTGTATGTCTGGCTGGTAGTCTGCTCTCATGAGGGCATTGATCTTGTTTAGAGTGTCTATGGTCGTGTTGAGTCATGCTGTGTATTTTGTAAGCCGGGAGCATAGACATTGCATTTGTGTCAGGTGTAACGGGTCTGTGGGCAATGCTGGCGTTGGGAATGCCCTGCTCTGCCTCTGCATTGAGGGTGAGAACCCCTAACCAAGAGGGTTGCGAGGGGAAGGGGGTGTGAGAGCTAGGCACCTGTCTGGGTGTCCTCATTTTGGCCTTTGCGGTTTTTAAAAACGCTGGATGTCCTCATGGAGTTAAACTCTTTGTAAATGCAGGAAGTGCCAACAGCCACTAGAGACAGTCTTAACATTGCAATGTACTCAGGGAAGAGAAACACTGTTAAGGGAACAGGAGAACTGCAATAAGATGAAGCGAGAGTTCTGAGTGCCTGTGGTGTCCCTTTAAGAGCCAAAAGGTCTTAAAACTGGAAGTTAGTGTCTGAAGATTCCTGTCTTGCCTTCAGAGGCAGTAGACTGGTGTGGGGCTGTGACAGCTCTGTAATTTTTGCAGTACATAATTACTTCATCATTAAGTTACAGCTTAGAGATTTGTCCTTTAAGTATTGCAAGTAGTAGCTTAACATAATAGTACTTTTTTATGTCCTTCCAAGCATGCAAAGCATATTTAACTTCTGCTCTCATGCTGGGACCCCTCTAGGAAGTTTTTTTTTAAATGAATAATCCAAAAACAAATAGTTAAAAGAATAAGATTGTATATGCCATTTGCATACTATGGTTATACAGACAGAATAATTTAATTGTCCAACTAAAAAAAAGGACCTCCAAGGTAGGATTTTCAGAAACCTTACCTGTGCCGAACGCTACAGTCGAAAGGCAACTTCTACCTCCACTGCAGCCCCTAGTCCCACTGCAGCTTTTACTTTCCACTGCAGCCTCTATCCCCTACTACAGTCACTACCCTTCAAATGTAGCTCCTATCCCCCAATAAAGTCCTGACCCCCAAATCAAGCCCCTAGCCCCCAATTACAGCCTATAACCCCCACTACAGTCTCTAGCCTCCCTACTACAGCCCCTTATAATCAAACAGTAGCCCCTAACCCCTACTAATCCCTGCTCCCCAAATGTAGCCACTGTCCCCCTACTACTGCCCCTACCACCCACTTCCCCACTACAGCCTCTACTCCCTCACTACAACCCCTACCCCAACTGTATGTGCTATCCCCACAATAGTCACTACCCTCCAAATGTACCTCCTCTCCCACACTACAGTCACTACTCCCCAAATGCAGCCCTTATCGTCCCACTACAGTCAATTTCAATCTATATCCCCACTAAAACACTGCAGCCACTATCCCGACACTACAGCTCCTACACCCACTACAGTCCCTACCCCCACTACAGCCCTACCTATCTTACAGCCCCTACCACCCCACAGCCTCCCTTGTGCAGTGCTTATCCCCTACTAGAGCCGCTAACACCCCTTTTACACCCCATATCTCTTAATACAGCCCCTATTTCATTACTAAAGAGCCTACCCCCACAACAGTCCATATACTCCTCACTATAGCCTCATCTCCATCCAATTGCAGCCCATATCTCTCACACCACAACCTCTTTCCCAAATCGCAGCCATCCCCTTCAGCAATTAACCCCCCTACTACAGCCTCTATCCCCTCACTACATTTCCTAACCGCTCAATTACAGCCAGATGTGGTTAGGTGTGTTATGTTTGTGAAGGGGAAGAATAATCGATATAGCCACGCCCATTCAAGAACGCAAAAAATATTCTTGCACCCAGGTGTCAGAGACCCTAGGATCGGCCCTGATATCATACACTATGCAATATGACGTAATAGGCATAATGGAAACATGGTGGGATGAAAGACATGACTGGGCAGTTAACGTACATGGTTACTGTCACAGGTTCTCTAGTCTATTGTCGTTATTCCTTTAATCCTTCAATCAATCTGAGCTTTATTGGCCACTGTCATACCTCCACGCGGCACACGCCGCTCCGGTCCCGCCGTCCGCTCTGCTCCTCCTGGCTCTGACAGCTTCCGACACAGCGCACGTGCGCACCCGGGTGCGCGCGACCATGGACGCGCGGCATGCACATGCGGCACCCTTTTATAATCTCTCCTATTCTCTTCCCTAGCCTATCAGATCTCTCTTAGCCATATTTATACCTCCCTCCTACATCATTTCCTTGCCCTGTCGTGGTCTATTGTAGCCCTAGAGTGCATTCTTTATACTTGTGTGTTTCCTGGTATCTGACTTCGGCTTGTCTCTGGTTATCCGTAATTTCTGGCTTCCTTGACCATTGGCTTTGTTTCTCGTTTATTCTTCCTTCTCCTGCCCTGACCTCGGCTCGTCTGATTATTCTGTTACTCTCCTTACTTTTCTTCACGTTAAGTCCGGCCTCTTTAAGGACCGGTAATACGTCTAGCTTGGGTTGTCTGGTAGTCCTATAGTTAGCGTGTTGGGGAACCTAAACTTGACAGCCACACTCTGCTTTTTATGAAGTGCCCCTAGCATGGGGTTTCCAAGACAAAATCACAGGGGTTTCCTTCCCACAGGCCTTTGAGTTTGAGAGAAAACAAAAGAAAAGATTGTGGGGTGTGCTTGTATGTCAACTATGAATCAATGCCAAATATTAAACAAGTGGAATGTAACAAGGAAAATGTAGAAGCTGTATGGGTAGTTATCTGCTTGGTTACAAAAGCAGGGCTGTATTTACCATGAGGCAAACAAGGTATTTGCCTAGGGCGGCACTTTCAAGGGGGCAGCAAAAGACGATGCCTTAAGTGCCTAGACAAATCCCGTGTTTGCCTCATCTTTGGTGGTCCAAGAGGTGGCCAGCTGGCCACCTTAGGGCCCCCCAATGCATTCAGATACTCAGCGCGTTGGCGGGTGGGGAGGGAGCGGAGTCCTCTGAGCTCTTCCTGCTCCCCCCGTGCCCTTCTATGATGCTGGGATCCAGAATATGACATCACTCCAGCCCCAGCGGAACAGAACAGGAATAGTTTCCTCGCCGCCTTCATTGAGCGCCTGCACATCTGCCCAGCCAACAGCCCCAGCCAGCTGGCAAGGAGCCTGTCAGCAGCCCTAGCCAGCCCGGCAAGGAGAGTGTCAGCAGCCCCAGTCAGCCCAGCAAGGAGCCTGCAAGCAACCCCAGCCAGCCCAGCAAGGAGCCTGTCAACAGCCCCAGGATGGAGCCAGCCCAGCAGCAGTCAGGGACAGGATCCACTTCAGCTCTCCCAAAGGTAGGGAGATTGGGTTCAAGCATTGGGTTCAAGCACTAACTAGAAAGGACACCTGTCTGGATCTGGTTATAACAAATAGGTCAATCTTCTGGCAAACGGACAGCACTTGGGAAATAGTGATCACAATATAGTGTCTTTTGAAACAAACTCAAATAAGCAAATGCACTTGGGTATACTAAAACATATTTTAAAAAGGGCAATTTCAGCTTTACAACATAAAAGCTGGTATAAACACAGAGGATAAATGGAATATCTTTAAACAAATATTACAAAGGTACACTTCTCAGTATGTACCATTTGGGCAATAAATATAAAAGAAACAACTTGAAATTATTGTGGCTTAGTGGGAAAGTAAACAAAGAAATTACAAATAGGAAAGGCACTAAAAGCATTAAAATGAGACAAATCAGAGACATTCTATGTAAGATATAAGAAAGTCAATAATGCATGTAAAAAGGCAATTAGATTGGCTAAACTAGAAAATGAGAAAGTGATAGCCAAAGAGAGCAACACCAACCACCATTTTTGTACAAATGAATACATTAATTCTGAAATACTAAAATATGAAAGTGTAGGTACACTGAGAACAGGGATAGTTGTGTTACTTAATGAAGATCAGGAAAAGGCAAACATTTTAAATACCTATTTTCCTCAGTATATATTAAGGTAGATAAGCAAATGATTGCTGCAAAAACTTGCAGAAAATTGTGATTGGGTACTCTAGCAACTAAAGAAAGTTCATGTAAACAAAGCTCCGTGGCCTAATGGTATTCACAGATGAGTACTTAGGGAGCTAAGTGTGGAAATAAGTGAACTTCTGTTTTAAATCTTTCAGGATTCTTTTCTATCAGGAATTGTACTGGAAGATTGGAGGAAGGCAAATTTCCTATATTCAAAAAGGATTCAAAATCTTTGCCTGGAAATTATAGACATGTGAGCTTAAGTTCTGTCTGGGAAATTATGTGAAGGTTTAATAAGGGATAATAATCAGGAATTCATTGGGAAGAATATTGTTATATAAAAAAAAAATCAGCATAATTTATGAACATAGGTCATGTCAAACTAACTTGCATTTTACAAAGAAGTAAGTAAAAGTATATATCAGGGTGTTCCAGTGGATGTGATCTACTTAGATTTTACCAAGGTGTCTGAGACGGTTCCATGTAATAGGTTATTGTTCAAATGAAAAGCAATTAGTATACATGAAAATTCATGTTTTTGGGAAGAGCACTGGCTTAAAAATAAAGTATAGAGAGCTGTCAGTAATAGTACATTTTCAAGCTGGACAAAAGTGGTAAGTGGTGTCCCTCATGGTTCTGTTCTATTTAACATATTTATAAATGATCTTAAAATAGGCATTGAAAGTCATGTTTCAGTGTTTGCACATGAACAAACTCTGTAAAGTAATACAATGTGAGCAAGATATTATTGTACTGCATAGGGATTTAGAGAGATTGGAAAACTAAGCATTCCAATTGCAGATTAAATTTAATATAGAAAAATGCAAAGGTATGCACTTTGGGGTAAAGCATGCACAATCAATTTACACCTGAAACAGGATTGAATTAGGTATAACAACACATAAGAAGGATTTGGGAATTGTTATAGACAAGAAACTAGACAAAAATGTGCAATGTCAATTAGCAGTTGGTAAGCCTAGTAAGGTATTGTCATGTTTAAAAAGTGTCATTATTTCTCTGGATGAAAATATAATTTTCCCTCTTTATAAATATATGGTAATACAACACCTTGAATATGCTGTGCAATTATGGGCACCTGTTCTAAAGAAGGATATTATGGCACTAGAAAAAGTGCAGAGATGGGCTACAAAATTAAGGCATGGAACATTTTAGTTATGAAGAAATACATTTAAGTCTGTTTATTTTATAAAAACGGCACCTCAGAGGGGATATCATAGCATTATACAAATATATTTGGGGACAATACAAAGCATTGTCTTGAAGTCTATTCATAAACAGGATTATACATAGGACACAAGGCCACACATTTAAACTGGAAGAAAGGAGATTTCATCTAAGGCAAATGAAAGGGTTTTTACAATAAGAACAATATGGATGTTGAATTCTCTGCTTGAAGATGTGGTTTTATCAGAGTCAGTACAGATGTATAAATAGCAACTGGATAAATGCTTGCAGAAACAAAATAATCAGGAATATAATTTTTAATTTGTGGGGTAATAGCTTATTTATCCAAGTAAAGATCTGACTGCTATTCTGGGGTCAAGAATGAATTTATTCCTAGTTTGTTGCAAGATCGCAAAGCATTTCAAGCTGTGTCTTTTGCCTTCTTTTGGATAAACTGCAAAAACAGATGTGAGAAAGGCTGAACTTGATGGACACATGTCTCTTTCACACTGTGTAACTATGTAAGATATGTCTATATTACCCTAACTTCCCCTCTGTAGCAGATTTATATTTTAGTGTGTTATATAGTTGCCTGTATGACTCTCCACATGATTATGTTTTATGTATTGTATTGAGTGTTCCTTAAGGAAACATGTATTCCTAATGCTAGTGTCCTGCTTGTTGTTTAGGCAGTTGGCCTCACTTGTAAGGAGTTGTAAAAAAGTTGATTTACTTATCTTATCTAGCCTCAACGCAGTGCTCTCTCTGTGCTTGACACACATGCACAGATACAGTGGCACACACATGCACACACTGACACACATAAACAAGCATGCACATACAAATACACACACTGACGCACACACATGCACACATTCACAAACAGCGAACCATATGCACACATATACATTTGACTCACCCTGACTTGGAGTCCAGCTCTCCTTTGCCATTGGCAAGCCCCCTGACTTGCAGGGGCCCTGGTGTGGTATAACCAGCTGCTCCACTAGTAGTACTACACCTGAGTCAGGTATCTGCCTGGAACAAAGAATGTGCAGAGGGATCTATTCCTGTGCAGGAGAAAGAGTGTGTGAAGTGGTCACCTGCCTGGGAGGCATGGTGGATCCTGTCGCTCCTGGAGGTGAGACAAAAGACCTAGCAGGACAGTTCTTGATCCCAAGCTGGGGACCAGTCTACCCTGTTTTGTGACATATATTTCATAAGCATTGCTGAATCAAAAATGATTTTTATATGAATTGTAATATGTAAAACCACATAGTGTGTGGAGAAAAGTATCCATGAGATGCAGTTGCATGAATTGCTCATAGCAAATAAATACCTCTTTAGTTTACGCATATAGGGTTGGTGTTCCAGGAGCGATAAGCCAAATGGCAAATGATTTAGGCGAACTAGAAAAATGGTCAGAGTTGTGGCAACTGACATTTAATGTGGATAAGTGCAAAATAATGCATCTTGGATGTAAAAGCCCAAGGGCAGTGTACAGAATATTTGATACCCTACTAACCTCAACATCTGAGGAAAGGGATTTAGGGGTGATTATTTCTGATGATTTAAAGGTAGGCAGACAATGTAATATAGCAGCTGGAAATGCTAGCAGAATGCTTGGTTGTATAGGGAGAGGTATTAGCAGTAGAAAGGGGGAAGTGCTCATGCCATTGTACAGAACACTGGTGAGACCTCACTTGGAGTATTGTACGCAGTACTGGAGACCGTATCTTCAGAAGGATATTGATACTTTAGAGAGAGTTCAGAGAAGGGCTACTAAACTGGTTCATGGATTGCAGGATAAAACTTACAAGGAAAGGCTAAAGGAACTTAACATGTATAGCTTGGAGGAAAGACGAGACAGGGGGATATGATAGAAACATTTAAATACATAAGAGGAATCAACACAGTAAAGGAGGAGACTATATTTAAAAGAAGAAAAACTACCACAACAAGAGGACATAGTCTTAAATTAGAGGGGCAAAGGTTTAAAATAATATCAGGAAGTATTATTTTACTGAGAAGGTAGTGGATGCATGGAATAGCCTTCCGGCTGAAGTGGTAGAGGTAACACAGTAAAGGAGTTTAAGCGTGCTTGGGATAGGCATAAGGCTATCCTAACTATAAGATAAGGCCAGGGTCTAATTAAAGTATTTCGAAAATTGGGCAACCAAGATGGGCTGAATGGTTCTTATCTGTCGTCATGTCACATTCTATATTACGTCCTCTCTATATATTGTAAAGAGAGAGCTCTCATTTATGGTTACAAATTGCAAGAATGAACAAAATAAAACATAGCAGTCAGGAAAAAAAACATGAGGCCTGACAAAGACACTGTTTAGTGTTGAAACATTGCCAGGTCATCCACTTGGATGTTTTGAATAAATTCTCTTACTGAAGTAGTGTTGCAGAGTCTTCTGTTTCGCCATAATTGAATATTGAGGGGAAATGTCAATGGTATATTGTGTGAATGCCCTTTCACATTACTCTATACACAGTAATGTGCAAAAGGGAAGAGCAAGAATATTATACAGAGAAAATAAAAAAATAAAATGAAAACAATGTTTGCTCCCCACACTATTACTATAGGCATTTCACCACAATCTCAATGTAAACTGTGATAGAGGGAAAAAAAAGAGACGGGGAGAGGAGAAGGAAAAAAAGGTAAAAAGAGTGCAAGACATAAAAAAAATGGAGAGTGGGGTGTGATGATGTGAGTTAGGGGTTCAGTTCTCAAGAGTTTTAGGTTAAATATTTCAAGGATGACTGACTTACTTTGCATTATCATCATGCTGCACTTGGAGAGCTGTCATTGTTACTTTAAAAAAAAAAAGTGGTTTTGTTATTTGGTTTCTGAGTGACACGCATCATGTACATACCTCTCAACATTCGGAGGTATGTAATCGACACAGATGGGTGGGCCTTCTAGAGGGTGTCACCAGTGAAGCAACTTGTGTCACTGGCTACACTCATAATGGGCTGCCCACCCACTAAAGGGTGTGTGTCAGCATGCTGATAGACAGCCTCCCAAAGAACTCCCCACATGTGGGACACCATCTAGCGTTCTCTGATTGGTTCTAGTGCCTGCTGCATAGGTTTGTGCTGCCCGGTGAGAGGACATCAGAGAGAACTATGAAATGGGGACTATCCCGCTGAAATACTGTTGGGAGCCCCGCATCTACTTCCTCCTCTGAAAATTATTACTAATCCAGGTTTATGAATGGCTTCTTCGACTTGGCATTTAGTCATCAACTGTGGATCTGACTCACATAGTTGACATTTCTTATGGTGGTTCTCCAGGCTGGATTTGAGCACTGTTTTAATGCATCATATAATTTTATATAAAACATTAAAATTAAAATTGCTCACCATTGTTATTCCTACATTCACAGCAAATGTTCAGTGTATTTGATATGAGCATGGTCCAGACTAGAAAGTATCTCATTGGCCGAACTATCGCCGGGGCCTGCACACTGAGGTGGCCTATTAGGTGCCCATGCACTTGAGGCTCTCGATGGATGCATAGGGACCATTTAACAGCATGACTGGGCCCCTGTAGTATCGGCAGAGCTGGGAGAAAGTGAGAGCCTGTCACTTACTCCAAATTACAAAGGAAGCTGCATGGGAAGGAGGGAGAGAAGGAGGCACAGTAAGCATGGGGGGAGAGAAGCAACGAAAGCTGCTCCAGTCAGTGCCACACTACCATCAGACTCAGCCAGCAGCAGGACAACACGGAAGCTATAAAAGGTATGGTAACAGGAGGGTGGCTGAAAATATAAAGAATTATGACATATGGTTTTATAGACTCCATTTTGCTATGTTTGTTCACTAGCCTCCCAATGCTGACAGGAGAGGCAGGACGGCAGCGCAGAAATTGAGAAAAGCTAAGTAAACTACCAGTTTTATTCCTTACAGGTGGGGGCAGGGGATCTAAACGGCTACCAGGCTGCTAATTCCTAACGCTATAGTGTTAGATTAAGACCGAAATAGCAGAACTCGAATAATTCTCCCAGTTAGTTATACTTCCAGTTCAGCTATGTTGCCCTCAGTCTGAAATGCACTTTGAATTTAAATTAAGTTTTTGACAATTCCCACTTTACTAGATAACCCTACTGGAATATTTTTCCCTCCCTGTGTTCTGCTACCAATACTTGAAAAGTAAAATGTATCCTTGATTAAGCCAAAATGTATCAACAGTAGTTAGAGGTTGGCTGTCTCTGAAACATTGGTCCTTAACAAAGGATGCACTAAAGGTGTTCATATTTGTATGAACAAAGAAACACTGTTGTCTATTTATGCAGTGATGAAGCTGTCATCCCAGGAATTGTTAATGAAAGTCACCTTTGATGTCCCCATCATCCTTTCTTTGTACAATATTGTGGACTGTCCCACATCTGTCTAAAAGCTGCCCCCATTCTATCAGTGCTTGGAGCCCCCATAGGACTTCATTAAGAGCCGAGCGTGGGACTGAGGGATATGCTCTGCAAAGTACTAATCAGGGGATCAGAGCAATGTTCTGCAGAGGAGAGGACTCCGAAGCAATGCTCTGCAAAAACAAGGACCCTGATCAAAGCACTGCATGGAAATGACTCAATAAACAATTGCTGGCACACACCAACAATTCTGCGGGACTCCAATAAATAAATCGTCTTCATTGTCCCCTTCAGCTATTTCCCCCCAGAAAATTATTTATTTTATTAGATTTAACCCTTTAATTGTCAGGAACCCCCGATCATCCTTCCATTAGCCTCATATGTACCAGTTCTATTGCTTGAGGTCTGTGCAGTCATTTCTTTATAAAATCCTATACCTTTCTCCCTATGGCTGTGCAGTACGTCTCTTGGATATGTTCAGCTCCTAACATTGCAGATACTGCTGAACATCATCGCTAAATTCCAGATTGTAGTTTATAATCCTAATTATTGTCCTATTGAATAAACCTATTTTTATAATCTCTCTGTCACTTTAATGCAATGCCTGCATATTTACCAGCTGTGCATTTTAACTGTTTCACTGTATCACTATTCCTTTCTAAGAGAATAAGGACTGCATTCTAATCCATGCCTGAATCTGATTTACCAAACCTTCTGAAACTTTTCATGCCTGACACTCTTTATCTCTTTAGCTCTTATTCTCTCTTCTTCTCTTTCTCTCTTGAATTCTTCTTCCTTTCTCATTTCACTTTGCCCCACCCTCACTTGCCTAATTCTGTACACCCCTTGTCCCTGGGTAACTGATGAAGCAGTTTCTCAAAGTGCTAGGTTAGCAAAGTTACTAAATTGAATTCAGTCCCTTCAGTGACTTTAAAGCAAATGCCGCTTTTACAGGGGACTCATGGGGGTGGGGGGACAAATAGACTGGAACTTGTATTTAAGGCACAAGATAAGGGATTAGTTTAAAAATATAATAATAATAATAATAATAATAATAATATATATATATATATATATAAACAAAGCAAAAAATGAGAGCACTCCATGGATTTGGTAAATCAAATTACTGTATTCAAATAGCACAAAAAAAATCGACGTTTCGACCGTCTAGCGGTCTTTATCAAGATGCTGTCATATACAAAAACCTCAAATATATACATAAACGCTTGTTAAACTTACCCAATCACCAAGTGCTCCCTGTGTGTCCAATCTGCCATATGAGTGAAGCCGCAAATTGTTATGTTAATTGCCGTAAAGTGACGTGTGGTGAAATCACCATGTGTTGCCTAGAGACGGCACAGCTGTTTAAAAACCAAATGTCGGCAGAGATTTAAAATCAATACGGAGGATAAATAAAATTATATGTTGCATATGTGTTTTCATAAATGTCTAAGCAACTGCCTAACTGATCGTAGGATACTAGAGTGAGCCAGGAATGGCTAGAAACGATTGCTCATATAGGGACTCAGTTAGAAAGACTGGTGTATTGGTAACTGTGGACCTGTGTAGCCTAATAGAGCTAACTCAAATACTCCTAACTCCTTATTAAATTGGGAACCCTAGCTGGGAAAGCCATGTGTGTTGCCAAATCACAAACCTAAACAATAAGAACAGGCATCAATTACAGAAAACAGGCTGGCTTAGCATAATGTGAGTTGTCAGTATATAACAGAGAGTGTGTGTGATGTTGACCCTTTATCTACTGGGGTCCATTTATAGTGTAGAGTGATCAGCATGTGTGTGATGAAATAAATAAACACAGGGAATATTAAATGGTGAGTGACAAATCAGTATGTGTGAATTCCAAACTAGTAAAAAATAAAGCAAGAATGGGAAAATCCTGTACTAAATCAATCTACGGTATGTATGTGAGACACTGTAGAAAAAAGTGTGTGTGTGCTACTAAGATCATTCTCCGGTGTGTGTGTGAAATGATGTAGTAAAAAATGTGAGTATACTGCCTGACCTCTAGAAATGAGACAATCAATGAAGAGTGAAAAAGACTGTGCAGCTGAAACATGCACTAAAAGTGTAATGAGCCCTCGTGAATAATGAGAATGCACTGTCAGAAAGGTAAGAATGCAATAAAAAAAAAATATATATATATATATAAATAAATAAATAAATAAATAAAATGAAATAAAAAATATATACAAAATACAATAAAATAAAAATAAATATCAAAATAAATAAAAAACATATAATAAAAATAAAAATAACAAAAAATAAAAATAAAAATAGTAAAAATAAACAATAAAGAGAAAATAAACAATAAAAAATGTAACAGTGATCCTACTAACTATATGCCAGTGCAGCCTCCAAGATCGGCATGCTAGGTAATGGAAAAGAGAAAAATTAGGTAAAAGGAGAGAGGGTCCTACTATAAGAACCTTATATCACTGGGTATTTATCAAAAAGCCAAAAGTGCCTAGATGTATGTACTATCCCCAATCACCAATTGGAAGTCCACAACCCTTTCTTGCAGCTCTGTATTGTAACTCCCACCGGCAGGAAATCAGATGGAAATAATTCACAATGTCCTCTTTATTATGGGATGGTCATTAAATCTTGAGTCAAAATCTCGCATCCAAGTCATTTACTGCTCAGCGATATCAACGGATATCCAAAAAACAACTAAATGAGTTGTATTCGTTTAATCCTTTCGGTTGGACCGTATCCAGATGTGTGATCCAAAAGGTTTCCCTTTGTAAAAGTAACTTTGATCTGTCGCCTCCGTGGGATGTGGTCTATCATAATGAACTTAAGCGTGGGTAAATGGTGTTGGAAATCTAGGAAGTGTTTTGCCACAGGTTTATCAGTCTTCCCATCCCGGTACGCCGTCATGATTCCTGATCTGTGACCACGAATACGGTCCCTTACTGTAAGGTCTGTTTTACCCACATAATATTTCCCACATGGGCATGAAATGAGGTATACTACATGGTCACTCATGCAGGTTAGTCGATGTTTGATCTGGATTCTTTTGCCTGTGTGGGGATGTGCAAAGGAAGAGCCTGTCAGCATGTGTCCACAGGTGACGCAACCTGAACACTTGAAACAGCCTTTCTTGGTATGCAATGTTCGTGTATTATATTGGCTCGGTATATCTGTTTTTACTAAAATGTCCTTCAAGTTTCAGTTGCGTGAATATGCGACCCTTGGTTTCTGTAAAAAAAACGGATTAAGTGTTCTGTCGCTGGATAAGATGTCCCATCTCCCTTTAATCCTGTGGGAAAATCTCTGGCTCTCCGTGTGGTATGATAAAGGGATCGTAATTCTGGGCAGATTTTGAAGTTGTTTAGTAGATATGCCCCTGTATATATTTTCTGCTTTTATTTTACATTCTTGGAGCACTTTATATGTGTATCCTCGTTCCACAAAGGATCTGGTCATGTCCTCTAGTTGAGTTTTACATGTGCTTTCCTCCGAGTTATTCCTGTACACTCTTAAGTATTGCGAAATAGGTAAAGACTCCTTTAGGGCTTTGGGATGAGCGCTGTTGGCGTGTAGCAGCGTGTTGCGGTCTGAGGGTTTTCTAAATAATCGATGTCCAATGTTTCGATCCTTCCGGAATATCTCCACATCCAAGAATTGGATTTTATCTGGGCTGTACGTCAAAGTAAATTTAATGGTGGAGTTTAAATTGTTCAGTTCTTCAATCATCTTCTCCAATTCTGTTGCCGTGCCTTGCCATAAAATAAAGATGTCGTCCACAAACCTGTGATACTGTATTATTGCAACATATAATTTTATTTATCCTCCGTATTGATTTTAAATCTCTGCCGACATTTGGTTTTTAAACAGCTTTGCCGTCTCTAGGCAACACATGATGATTTCACCACACGTCACTTTACGGCAATTAACATAACGATCCACAATTTGCGGCTTCACTCATATGGCAGATTGGACACACAGGGAGCACTTGGTGATTGGGTAAGTTTAACAAGCGCTTATGTATATATTTGAGGTTTTTGTATATGACAGCATCTTGATAAAGACCGCTAGACGGTCGAAACGTCGATTTTTTTTATTTTTTTTTGTGCTATTTGAATACAGTAATTTGATTTACCAAATCCATGGAGTGCTCTCATTTTTTGCTTTGTTTATAGTATTTTGCACAGAGAAGCACCTGGTATGTATTATTATTTGGGAAGAGTGCCAGAAATTGTATAGTTTCTAGATATTGAGTGTGTTGTGCCACACTTTCTGAGCACCTCCAGCTGAAAAATATCTTTTGTTAAATTTACACCTTTGGAGTGTGACCTAGCTATCAAGTATTAATATGGAGGATTTTTTGTTGAGGGCTGGAGCCCTAGCTGACACAGCTGAGACCATTCAAATTACAGCGCAAGAAGCTGAAAGCATACTTTGGCCTAACACCACCGCGGATCTTACCCACACGGATTCCATTAAGGATCTGTACAATGATCTTATGAAGTTAAAAAGACGAGAAGTAGACTTAGATCTGCATGGAATTTTTATCTCAGATTATTACCGAGCAAAACGGATTCCAAGAGGTTTCAGGGTAAGAAACTCTCCCACTATTGGGAGACAAAATCCCGAGTTTTGGAAAAAATGGATTGGCATAGCCAATAAATGCTCGCTTGACTGGATGATTATAGTGGTAGAGGAGGTAAAAAACTAATTAGTTTTTACCAAGGAGTCTATTAACAAGTTTGAAATGTCGCATGTTACAACGTTAAACGCAACCACATCCACCCAATATATGGTGAAATTACAGGACGAAATCATGCGATATAGAAATGATCTCATAAGATTCAAAAAACAAAAAGTGGAAAAAGTGAATTTCGACTATACCCACCATCAGGTATACCATTGGATTAGTGGAGAAAGACATAGACTACCATTCCAACGTAACAGACAACGAACACGCAAGCCTCAATTCTTATCCATTGACACGAGCTCAGCAGACTCCACTTCGGAAACAGACACCAGAACTACCTCAAGCCAAGGAGGGCTCATCAGAGATACACAACAAACCCAATCATCAACTTTTTTAGGGCTGGAACGACACACAAACGATCCCCCTGGCAAATATCAACGCACAAGGAGAGGTTCAAAAGACGCAGATTTATCAGAAGAGGACAGAGGAACAAGATCTATAAATACCAGATCCAAACCACCAACCAGAAGGACATAAATCCAGTCTTCAACCTATCTTCCAAGACGCTGACCAATGCCCACAATCAAGTACTATCCAAAGGACTTACATTCGTTCCGACGGCCAAACCAGACGCATTTAAAACCGGGGTTGAATTGTTCAAAATGAACAGAATTTTAAATATGCAAGCTACTCGTGATACCATGACAGTAAGACCATCCTCATCATTCAAACTCAAAAGCGTTTGGGAACCTAAATACACACATCATGCCATCAAAACCTTCTCCACTATTTTGAAAACTGACATGGACATCATTCTTGCACAACAACAGAAGAAACCGGATAATTTAACCCAGGCAGAAAGAACTGCTCTCAGAGATTTGAGCAGGGATGATCAACTTGTGATTCGAGCAGCAGATAAAGGGGGAGCAATAGTCCTACAGGACTATACGGACTACAGGGAAGAAATTTTAACCCAATTATCTGATACCCAGACATACAGAAAGCTAACCTCTGACCCCACGAGCAAGATCAGCACCAAAATACAGGAGTGGATAACATTGGGAACAGCAGCAAATTGGCTGGATCACAGCACAGCGGAATATTTGCTCAATACACATCCGAAAATTCCGATCCTTTACACACTCCCTAAGATACACAAGGACGCAAAGAAACCACCTGGGAGACCAATTGTATCCGCTCCAGGAGGTTTACTGGAACCCATAGCTAAATACGTGGATTTTTATTGTAAGTCCACAGTCTCCAGATTATCCACATGCCTAAGGGATACCCAAGACTTCCTTAATAAAATCACCAGCTGTGAATTAAACGACACACAGTACATCTTCGCCACGGCAGATGTAAAAAATTTGTACACGGTGATTCCTCACAATATGGGGATGGATGCGATGCGAACACTGCTATTACAATCAGATGTCTATGAAGGTCCCCCCATTGAATTTTTGTTAGAAGGATTACTACTTACATTGACAAACAATTATTTTCGTTTTGAAAAGAATTTCTACATTCAAGAGATGGGAACTGCGATGGGATCGGCAATAGCTCCAACATATGCGAATAGTTTTATGTATGCATATGAGAGCAGACACATTCTGTCCACATATAAGGAACATTTGATACAGTATCACAGGTTTGTGGACGACATCTTTATTTTATGGCAAGGCACGGCAACAGAATTGGAGAAGATGATTGAAGAACTGAACAATTTAAACTCCACCATTAAATTTACTTTGACGTACAGCCCAGATAAAATCCAATTCTTGGATGTGGAGATATTCCGGAAGGATCGAAACATTGGACATCGATTATTTAGAAAACCCTCAGACCGCAACACGCTGCTACACGCCAACAGCGCTCATCCCAAAGCCCTAAAGGAGTCTTTACCTATTTCGCAATACTTAAGAGTGTACAGGAATAACTCGGAGGAAAGCACATGTAAAACTCAACTAGAGGACATGACCAGATCCTTTGTGGAACGAGGATACACATATAAAGTGCTCCAAGAATGTCAAATAAAAGCAGAAAATATATACAGGGGCATATCTACTAAACAACTTCAAAATCTGCCCAGAATTACGATCCCTTTATCATACCACACGGAGAGCCAGAGATTTTCCCACAGGATTAAAGGGAGATGGGACATCTTATCCAGCGACAGAACACTTAATCCGTTTTTTTTTTACAGAAACCAAGGGTCGCATATTCACGCAACAGAAACTTGAAGGACATTTTAGTAAAAACAGATATACCGAGCCAATATAATACACGAACATTGCATACCAAGAAAGGCTGTTTCAAGTGTTCAGGTTGCGTCACCTGTGGACACATGCTGACAGGCTCTTCCTTTGCACATCCCCACACAGGCAAAAGAATCCAGATCAAACATCGACTAACCTGCATGAGTGACCATGTAGTATACCTCATTTCATGCCCATGTGGGAAATATTATGTGGGTAAAACAGACCTTACAGTAAGGGACCGTATTCGTGGTCACAGATCAGGAATCATGACGGCGTACCGGGATGGGAAGACTGATAAACCTGTGGCAAAACACTTCCTAGATTTCCAACACCATTTACCCACGCTTAAGTTCATTATGATAGACCACATCCCACCGCTCACAAGAGGAGGCGACAGATCAAAGTTACTTTTACAAAGGGAAACCTTTTGGATTACACATCTGGATACGGTCCAACCGAAAGGATTAAACGAATACAACTCATTTAGTTGTTTTTTGGATATCCGTTGATATCGCTGAGCAGTAAATGACTTGGATGCGAGATTTTGACTCAGGATTTAATGACCATCCCATAATAAAGAGGACATTGTGAATTATTTCCATCTGATTTCCTGCCGGTGGGAGTTACAATACAGAGCTGCAAGAAAGGGTTGTGGACTTCCAATTGGTGATTGGGGATAGTACATACATCTAGGCACTTTTGGCTTTTTGATAAATACCCAGTGATATAAGGTTCTTATAGTAGGACCCTCTCTCCTTTTACCTAATTTTTCTCTTTTCCATTACCTAGCATGCCGATCTTGGAGGCTGCACTGGCATATAGTTAGTAGGATCACTGTTACATTTTTTATTGTTTATTTTCTCTTTATTGTTTATTTTTACTATTTTTATTTTTATTTTTTGCTATTTTTATTTTTATTTTTATTATATGTTTTTTATTTTTTTATTTATTTTGATATTTATTTTTATTTTATTGTATTTTGTATATATTTTTTATTTCATTTTATTTATTTATTTATTTATATATATATATATATATTTTTTTTATTTTTTTTTATTGCATTCTTACCTTTCTGACAGTGCATTCTCATTATTCACGAGGGCTCATTACACTTTTAGTGCATGTTTCAGCTGCACAGTCTTTTTCACTCTTCATTGATTGTCTCATTTCTAGAGGTCAGGCAGTATACTCACATTTTTTACTACATCATTTCACACACACACACACCGGAGAATGATCTTAGTAGCACACACACACTCTTTTCTACAGTGTCTCACATACATACCGTAGATTGATTTAGTACAGGATTTTCCCATTCTTGCTTTATTTTTTACTAGTTTGGAATTCACACATACTGATTTGTCACTCACCATTTAATATTCCCTGTGTTTATTTATTTCATCACACACATGCTGATCACTCTACACTATAAATGGACCCCAGTAGATAAAGGGTCAACATCACACACACTCTCTGTTATATACTGACAACTCACATTATGCTAAGCCAGCCTGTTTTCTGTAATTGATGCCTGTTCTTATTGTTTAGGTTTGTGATTTGGCAACACACATGGCTTTCCCAGCTAGGGTTCCCAATTTAATAAGGAGTTAGGAGTATTTGAGTTAGCTCTATTAGGCTACACAGGTCCACAGTTACCAATACACCAGTCTTTCTAACTGAGTCCCTATATGAGCAATCGTTTCTAGCCATTCCTGGCTCACTCTAGTATCCTACGATCAGTTAGGCAGTTGCTTAGACATTTATGAAAACACATATGCAACATATAATTTTATTTATCCTCCGTATTGATTTTAAATCTCTGCCGACATTTGGTTTTTAAACAGCTTTGCCGTCTCTAGGCAACACATGATGATTTCACCACACGTCACTTTACGGCAATTAACATAACGATCCACAATTTGCGGCTTCACTCATATGGCAGATTGGACACACAGGGAGCACTTGGTGATTGGGTAAGTTTAACAAGCGTTTATGTATATATTTGAGGTTTTTGTATATGACAGCATCTTGATAAAGACCGCTAGACGGTCGAAACGTCGATTTTTTTTGTGTGCTATTTGAATACAGTAATTTGATTTACCAAATCCATGGAGTGCTCTCATTTTTTGCTTTGTTTATAGTATTTTGCACAGAGAAGCACCTGGTATGTATTATTATTTGGGAAGAGTGCCAGAAATTGTATAGTTTCTATATATATATATATATATATATATATATATATATATATATATATATACACACACATACAGTACAGTAAAACTTACTCACTGACCAAATAACAACTTCAAAGCTCACAAAATGTAATCTTGACATCTGACTTAAAAAGTATGGGGGTTTAGTTACGGTATATATTAATACATTGCATAATCCTGCCACAACGTCAATATACCCCATTATGGAAGGCCCTATCCTAGCAACGTAATGCTCGCTTTTATGAGATTAATCCACTTACTTGGAAAAAATCCTTCCTCCTGGAACTCTCTGCAGGTCAAGGTTAAATAGGCAGGGCCGGATTGGCCCACTGGGATACCGGGAAATTTCCCGGTGGGCCAGCATACTAGCAAGCCGGTGGGTACGGTGCAATTACAGGGTGAGCTTCTATTCCCCTACCTGGTCTGACATTAAGTGCTCCTGTCAGATCGGGTACAGTGAGCAGGAGCTCCACCACCACAGTCTGCCTGCTTGGCCACGCTACAGCAAGGTACAGGGAGAGGCGGGGGGTTGGGGGAGGAACTAATGGGACACAGGGAGAGCTGGGGGGGAAACTAATGGGACACAGGGAGAGCTGGGGGAGGACTATTGGGACACAGGGAGAGCTGGGAGGACCATTGGGACACAGGAGAGCTGGGAACTAATGGGACACAGGGAGAGCTGAGGGGGAAACCAATGGGACACAGGGAAAGCTTGGGGACCACTGGACACAGGGAGAGCTGGGAAGCAAATGGACACAGAGAGCTGGGGGAACTAATGGGACACAGGGAGAGCTGAGGGGGAACTAATGGGACACAGGGAAAGCTGGGGTGACTAATTGGACACAGGAGAGCTGGGGGAAGCAAATGGGACACAGGAGAGCTGGGGGGGGACTAATGGGACACCGGGAGAGGGGGATGACTAATGGGACACAGGGAGAGCTGGGCAAAGGGACTAATGGGTCACGGAGAGAGCTGGGAGGGGGATATAAGAACACATGGAGGGCTGGGAAGGGGGTATAAGGACACATGGAGGGCTGGGAGGGGGGTATATGGACACATGGAGGGCTGAGGGGAGAACTAATGGGACACATGGAGGGCTGGGTAGAGGGTATAGGCACACATGAAGGGCTGGGGGGTATAGGGACACATAGAGGGCTGAGAGGGGGCTAATGGGACACATGGGGGCTGGGAGTGGGCTATAGGGACACATGGAGGGCTAGGAGGGAGGGCTAATATGACACATGGAGGGCTGGGGGGCTAATGTGACACAAAGGGGGGCTCATGGGACACATGGGGGTGCTACTGAGACACATAGAAGGCTTATCAATAAACTGCAATCTCTAAGTTTGGATTCCAATATTGTTGAATGGGTGAGGCAGTGGCTGAATGACAGGCAACAGAGGGTTGTAGTCAATGGAGTATATTCAAAGCATATTCTTGTCACCAGTGGGGTACCTCAGGGATCTTTACTTGGACCCATTATCTTTAATATTTTTATTAGTGATATTGCAGAAGGTCTTGATGGTAAGGTATGTCTTTTTGCTGATAAAAATAAGATATGTGACAGAGTGTTCCAGGAGGGATAAGCCAAATGGCAAATGATTTAGGTAAACAAGAAAAATGGTCAGAGCTGTGGCAACTGATATTTAATGTGGATAAGTGCAAGATAATGAAAGGAGAGAATGAGACACACAGAGGAGCTGTGGGGAAAGATACACATAGAGGTGCTGGGGCCTGGGAAAGAAACTCACATAAGGGCTGGGGAAAGACAGAAAAGACAATGGGGTGGGGCTAAGAGACACATGAAACGGGCTTGGGGGAGAAAGACACAAACAAAATGTATCTTCACTTGTGTCTCCTGCTCTCCCTGTAACTCAGAATCGACCAGAGAGAGAAAGATGTTGTATTAAAGGGACACTATTGTCATCAGAACTACTACAGTTTAATATAGTGGTTCTGGTGTTTATAGCCTGTCCCTGTAGGCTGAGCATTGTAAATTCTACCTTTTCAGAGAAAATGCAGTGTCTACATTGATGCCTAGGCGCATCTCTAGTAACAGTCACTCAAACGGCCACTAGAGCTGCTTCTTAGTCCAGTGCTGCACATTCTGCATGGAGGCGTTGATCGCTCCCCATAGAGATGCATTGATGCAATGCATCTCTATGAGGAGATGCTGATTGGTGTGGTAAAGCACAGCATTTTGCCACATATGCGCAATAGCCCCCAAATGCTTTCCTATGGAAATTGAATTGGCATTGACTGAACTTTATCCAGTTGTCAGACAAAGTGAAGAGTACACTCTTATTACTTAAAAAAAACAACAACAAGATAACATCAGTTTATTTACTGCTGTGCAATAGCATACATTCACAATTTCAGTCCAAATGACCAAGCTTTTCTTAATATATCAAGAAAATGGACTGAAACATTGATTATATGCGAATGCAGTCTGCTTACAATAAATCCGCTCTTTTGTTTATTTTGAAGCCCTATGAGTGCTTTCTTTCACGTTTGAGTGATAGTTTTCAGTTTTAAGGTTGTTTTTTTTCCCTGCTTCCATATCTGCACACTATGCTGGCGCAATGCATTATGGGGCTAGTATCAAATTTTTTTCCAGGGCTACTTTTCATTCCCAGCCCGGCCCTGTAAATAGGACCCTGGTATGAGGCACTTGTGACAAGGAGGGGTGCAAAATTGGAGAGTTGGCCTGGTAGTGGTTTCATATGTATATACATATATATATATATATATAAATTTATTTTTCAAAAATGTTTTAACAGAAAAATGTCTGGAGGTGTCTTACATTTTCTTGCATGTCCAGGGAAACCAAGGTGATATTAATGTCACCAGGAGAAATATTACTATTTGGGCCTGTTGGCTTAGGTGCAGAGTGAGGAGAAGTAGGTAGGCATAATGGAGCCTGTGCCATGGACTGCTTAGGGATGGGCTTTGAGCAGAGTTACAGGGACAAAAGAAAGTATTCACATGTTTTATACTGGATTCTTATACTGAACATGCACTGTGTGTTTTAACCTGTCATATAATGTCCCCTGTGCAGGCAGAGCTGTAGTTACCTGTGGCATCATAACTGTGAGGGAAAAATAAGCAGACATAGGCAAGATTGAAGTGTACTCTTCACAAGACTGAAGCCCAGCTTTCAACCTACCTATGATGTTCTACATTTAGATTGCTCTATTTCAGACACTTTCCAGAAAATGTTCTATTCACAAAGGAGTGTAAATAATAGCTGTACTCATTATCACAGCTATATATTGTTTTTGTAGGGGAGTGAAAGAAAATGCTGGGTAAGAGAGAAATAAATAAAGGTAGCTGGGGGATTAAAGGAAAGTTCAGCAAGCAAGAGACTGCAGAATGGAGAAAGGAAACTGGTGACTAGTGGAGAACTACAGCTTGGGGGGGAATTAAAAAAATGCTGGATGGGAAATGATCTGAAACTCTTAAAGGTTTTAAACATAGTAAGAATTTATTATGAGTGGTCTGCACAATATTAACAATTTATTATGAGTGGTCTGCTAAGTGGGCCCCTCAATAGAAAATGCAGGGTAATCAGTGCTGGCCCAAGACATTGTGCTGCCTGGGTCCAATAATTAAATGCACCCGCCCCAATGATGCAGTGTGTGTAGGGAATGTATTTTGTGTACTGGTGAGCCAGTGTGTCTAGGGATGCATTCCATGTGTGAGTGCTTTAGGATACAGTGTCTGTGTGTGCTGGGGATGTAGTGTTTGTATCTGTTTGTACCGGACATGTAGGGTATTTGTCCTGGGGATGCAGTGTGTGTGTGCTCAAGAAGCAATGTGGGTGCTAGGGATGAAGTGTATGTTTATGTATGTGCTGGAGATGAAGTTTGTCAGTGTGCGTGCCGGGGATGCAGTTTATTTGTGTATGCTGGGGATGAAGTGTGTGTCTGTGTGTGCCTGGGATTGGCTTCCTATGTGCAGCACACTGTGTGTACACTGCAGCAAATCATGACATTTGTACTTACTGTATCTGTGGCACGGTGGTGTGACTTCTGCCTGGAGTCTGGAGTGATTCCTAGCAGCTCTGCTCCTCATGCTCCCATAGCTGAAGGTCCAGTATTGACTCCTGCCCTGCTCCTGGCTGTCGACTCCTGCATCAAGGAGCTGTATGCATTGCCCCTTGTGCTGCCCTGTAGGTGGCCAGCATGCAGATAGCTAAACACTGAGAGGGATTATTCTGCAATTTCTCCAACAGCTAAGCCCACTTATAGCCCTGCCAGGAATTATATAAGTAAAGCAAACCACTGAAGTCCACACAGTGTCACTTACACACTCTCACTAACACACACTCTCTCACTGACACAATCTAACTAACACACACACTCTTTCAATGACATACACACAGTGCTGCCTGGGTCCAATAATTAAATGCTTACACACTCTCACTAACACACACTGTCACTTACACACATGAGCTGCCCGGACCCCACACAGAAGCAGGCAGCTTACCAGGAAACCTCCAAAACTGCTTTTGGATTATGACATGGGTGGCAAAAATGCCACCCGTGTCAGAATGCCCGCTGGACACGCCTGCCCTGAGGGGGACAGTAGGCAGCAGCAACCTTACATCCTGATTTAGTAGCAAAAGGCATAGAGCATGCAAAAGTTGAGTATGCATTATTTACAGTTTTAAAAGACAACTGCAATTTCTCCTTCACACTTTCCTTGTAATTCTCACTCAACAGACATGGGACACAAAAAGCACAGAATCCTTCCAGGGACTTTTCTGAGTACCAAACTACACACAAAAATAGTGGGAGCTCTCAGAATCCTTCCCGGGACTTTTCTGAGTACCAAACTACACACAAAAATAGTGGGACCTCTACACACCATCTCCTACTGCTCAGAGCTGTATGAACATTTGCCAGAGGACTCATTTGTTATAATTCTCACTGACCCCAACAATATGTAGATTTTATCTTGACTGCTTTATTTGCCAGAGAACCCACTAGGCCCAGCAAGTGTGCCATTGTATACAACTCATATCATGGCAAATTGTTCATTGTTACTGCCCTGCACTATACAGAACCACCATGGTCCACAAAACATACTAACTAACTACAATGCAGTGAAAAGCTAAAATGACTCTATTTGTACAGAAAAGTCATAGACAAATCATTCCAACATCTCGTATGTTAATGTGTATTGCTCACAAATTTAAACCCTAATTTACATAAAGTCTATGTTATGTCAGTATGGACTTAAAAAAACACAGGGAATCAGGGCCATCTTTAATATTGATTGGACCCTGGGCAAAACATTTGCTTGGGCCCCCTGGACCATGTACACCCTCCCCAGGCGTGCAAACACGTTATCACCCTTAACGCAGTGGCTACCTAAAGTAGAGAGGTGCAATAATTTTTTTTTGGGCCTCCCTATTGCAAGGATGTTTAAAAGGTAGATCCCCATCTGTTGTGCAACTCCAGCAATGCCTTGACAGCTGGGGCTCTACCATTTATCCATATTTGCAGGTTTGTATTTAGCACTAAGCTGGTTTTGTGTGTTTCAATGTAAACAGGTTTTTGTATGGAATATGTTTGTATGTGGCATTGGCGTTTGAATGTAAGCATGTATTTATGTGTAGTGTTGGTTTTTGAATGCAGGGGTGTGTATACATATAATGTTGGTGTTTAACACAGACGTGTATTTGTATGTTGTGCTGAAGCTTGAATGCAGGGGTGTATTTGTGTGTAGTGTTAGCGTGTGAATGTTGAGATGTATGCACATATACACAAACACACAGGTAGATATGCACACAACCTGACACACAAATACACACCCTGACACACATACTAATAACATAACATACAGATACACTGAAACACACAAAGACAACGTACAGATACACACTGACACACATACAGACACACCGATACACATCCTGACATACACAAAGATACAAACACTGACACACATGCAGTTACACAGACACACATATACACACCTGACACACTTGCAGATACACACACATATATACACACTGACAAACACACAGATACAAAAAATGACAACATATAGATACACACAGATATACAAAGTGACACACAAACATACACTGATAGACATACTTACACAGACACATAAACTGACAGACATACTGACACATAGACAGACAGATATATACTGAGACACACACAGACATACTGACACACTGACAGACATGCTGACATTCACCAACACACACACCGACATACAGACAAAAAGAGTCAAACTGATACAGACATGTACACACCGACATACAGACATGCACACACTGACATACATATGGACACACAGAGACACATACACTAACAGACATGCTGACACACACACACACATATACTGACAGACATATTGACACACATTCACAGACACACACACAGGCATACTGACACACACACGCACAGACATACTGACACATACACTGACAGACATACTAACACACACACGCACTGACAGACATACTGACACACGCACTGACAGACATACTGACACACGCACTGACAGACATACTGACACACGCACTGACAGTCATACTGACACACATACTGACAGACATACTGACACACGCACTGACAGTCATACTGACACACGCACTGACAGTCATACTGACACACGCACTGACACACGCACTGACACACGCACTGACACACGCACTGACACACGCACTGACACACATACTGACACACGCACTGACAGACATACTGACACACACACTGACAGACATACTGACACACACACTGACAGTCATACTGACACACACACTGACAGTCATACTGACACACACACTGACATACTGACACACACACTGACAGACATACTGACACACGCACTGACACACACACTGACAGACATACTGACACACGCACAGACATACTGACACACACACTGACACACACACTGACAGACACACTGACAGACACACTGACAGACATGCAAAATTTACACTATTAAACCCACCCTTTCTACGTTGGAGGGTGACTTTCCTACCAGTGGCTGAAGCTGCTGGGAGTTGGGGTCTGGCTAGCTCGGCCCAGACCCCCACTGCTCTGCCTCTTCCTCCTCCCGCGCGCTCCTCTCTCTATGGGAGGAAGTGACGTGCAGCCGTCACTTCCTCCTAGCCGGCTGCCGAAAAGCAAGAGGGCCTGGTCGCGCTCTTAAAGCGCCAGAGCGCAAGACCGGGCCCCTGCTGACAGAAGCCCACCGGGTGCGTAGCTGCACCGGCAGTTGGGAAAAATGCTTGAGGTCAGCGGGGCCCACGGTGCAGCTGCTTCGGGCCCCCAAGAGTAACTGGGCCCGGGGCAGCTGCCCCGTTTGCCCCGCGGTAAAGACGGCCCTGCAGGGAATGAAAAGTACTTTTAGTACTAAGCCTTAATCTAGCTGTTAATTTTTACATTTTTCCATGTTGAGACAGTGATGTATTTGCATAAATATTAGAGTAGCTAGAACATATTTGTAATCCTTATGGTACATGACTACCTTGGTCGTTAATAGTCTAGGAAATCTGCATTTTGTAGCAAATTGGGTCTGGCCACTAGTGCATTACTATATGTGTTTTTCTGGTCACTTGCTCTATTCTAATTAGCCTTGTGATGCTTTCACCTAGTCAGAATATTATTATTATTATTATGTTATTATTTATATAGCGCCATCAAATTCCGCAGTGCTTTACACTGGGTGGACGAACAAACATGTAGTTGTAACCAGACAAGTTGGACACACAGGAACAGAGGGGTTGAGGGCCCTGCTCAATGAGCTTACATGCTAGAGGGAGTGGGGTAAAATGACACAAAAAGGTAAGGACAGTATTAGACTAGTGACAGTTGCAGAAGAGGAATCAGTGAGGAGCTATTAACAGTTTAATTGATACGCTTTTATGAAAAAGTGGGTTTTTGAAGTAGTGGAGACTGGGTGAGCATCTAACGGAGGAGGGAAGCGAGTTCCACAGGAACGGTGCAGCCCTCGAGAAATCGAGAAATCTTGAAGGCGAGCATCAAAGGTGGGAGTACGGACAGAAGATAGACGTAATTCTTCAGCAGATCGTAAGGGCTTAGACGGGACATACTTGTGTATAAGGGAGGATAGATATGTGGGAGCAGCATTATGTAGAGATTTGAAAGCAAGAACCAGAATTTTAAATTGAGCTCTTTATTTTATAGGAAGCCAATGTAGGGACTGACAGAAAGGTGAGGCATGGGAGGTGCGGGCGGACAGGAGGATGAACCTTGCCGCCGCATTCATTATGGACTCTAACAGCGCAAGAGAAGCAGATTACAGTAGTCAAGGCGAGAAAGGACAGTGGAATGGACCAACACCTTAGTCGCATCTGGCGTTAAGTAAGGGCAGATGCGCGCAATGACAGCATTTGGCGATAGATTGAACATGAGGCTTGAAGGAGAGGTCGGAGTCAAAAAGAACACCTTGGCAGCGAGCCTGCATGGTGGAGCTGATGGTAGCACCGTTGACTTGGAGGGAGACAGACACAGGAGTAACAACACTTGAGGGAGGAAAGACCAGAATTTCAGTTTTGGTCAAGTTTAGTTTAAGGAAGTGGGCAGCCATCCAGTTAGAAATAGCAGAGAGGCAGTCAGATACACTAGTCAAGAGGGACGGGGAGAGATCAGGAGAGGACAGGTAGATTTCCATGTCATCTGCATAGAAATGATATTGGAAGCCAAAGGAGCTAATGAGTTTACCAAGGGAGGCAGTATAGATGGAGAACAGTAGGGGACCAAGGACTGAACCTTGGGGGACACCAACAGAGAGGAGTTGGGGAGAAGAAGCAGAGCCAGAGAAAGAAACACTGAAAGAGCGCTGGGAGAGGTAGGAGGAGCACCAGGAGAGAGCAATATCTTGTAGACCGATATTGCGGAGCATGAGAAGAAGCTGTTGATGATCAACAGTGTCAAAAGCCAAAGACAGGTCAAGGAGAATTAGGATAGAGTAGTGACCTCGAGATTTTGCAGCAAGTAGATCATTGGATACTTTGGTCAGTGCCGTTTCCACAGAGTGCCTAGCGCGGAAACCAGACTGAAGCGGGTCTAGCAGAGAGTTGGACTCGAGGAAGTCTGTCAATCTCGCATACACAATTCTTTCAAGGATCTTGGATGCAAAAGGCAGTAGTGAGATAGGACAATAGTTGGATGGGGAGTTAGGGTTAAGATTGGGCTTCTTTAGAATTGGGGTTATAGTTGCATGTTTGAAGGGCGATGGAAATATACCAGAGGAGAGAGGGAGATTGAGAATTTTAGTGAGAGGTGGAGAAAGAGAAGAAGACAGAGTACGGATGAGATGCGAGGGAATTGGATCTAGGGAGCAGGTGGTGGTGCGGGAGGACTGGAGCAGAGTAGAAAGCTCTTCCAATGTAGAGAATAGAGCTTTACATTGAGCAGTAGTGGCTGTGTTGCCTAGAATACCTTGTGCCAAGGCTGGACGACAGGGATTGGCTGAGAATGCTGCGCTAACATGCCTCTCTCAGCCACTCAAGGTTGTCCAGGTTGGATAAATGTGAAAAATATTGGGAATTTGAGAATTTTTACCAAAGGATGCTTTAAATATATATTTTCTTTTAAGAAAAGTGAATAGGAGTTACTAGCCCCTTTAGCAACCAGATGACCTAATGAGATTGGTATACATCTAAAAAAAAATAACCATCTACAGGCATACACCCACTTTAAGTACACTCGCGAGTACAGACATACCCGCGCCTCTTCTGTCCTCGAGTGAACAGGAAATGGAAGGTTCTATTCTTGCCCGGAGCAGATCAGTTCAGTGTCTTTGGGTCAAGAACTTTTCACACCTTCTGACATGGCACAGGTTAATCATCTCAAATTTATAATGCCTACTCCTAGCTGAATATATATATATATATATATATATACACATATATATTCACATATATATATATATATATATATTTTCTGCCCATACATTGTCCATATTCTGCAATCGGCTGCCATCCAGTGAAAGGGTTTACCCTGCCTTTGCCGTTTTCTATAACCATGACTTAGCAGCTTAGCTGCATTAGCCACAATTCTGAGGATTCAAAGTTAAACCATAAATGCTTAAAGTGATGAAGAGGGGTTTCTACACAAAGCTGCTAACAAATACAAATTGGCACTGTATTGACAGAAAATGGCCCAGTGGGCATGTTTATTTTACTCTTCCTCCCAGTTTAAGGTTGTCAGATGAGTAAAACATTAAAGATAAATTAGATCTGGAATTAGAATTTTCTTTTTACTGTTTGTTTTAACTGAATAAAAGCCCACTGGAAATCACTAAATAAATCACTGGAAATAAAATCACTGGAAATCTGCAGTTGCAGTATCCGTTATGCCTGTAAATTACTATTGCAATGAAGTACATGCACTGGGAAGTGAAAAAAGGTATTGCTTCACTTTAAGAACATTCCGTTTTACATACATGCTCTGGTCCCATTGTGTACTTAAAAGTGGGGTATGCCTGTATTTACCAGTAAAGGCCTCTAGAGAGTAAATATATAAAACGCTTATACGCGTCACAGTGTTGTAGTCCCTTTCCTTCTTCCCTTGGTGCACTTGATGGAGGGGCACTATTACTCAAAAATAATGCAGCATATTAAAATGGTTTATCTCCCATTTTAATGTGGAATTTTTTTTTCATTTTTGTTAAGTAATTTTACTTTGCATATAGGAAAGATGAAGAAACTAAATGTCCTTTCTCTGATCTGTATCTTAGAGTATACATGTATAGTGGTTGTACCATATTTAAAATTGCAATTTTCTCTGCTTTGTGTCTGATTTTTTAGGATGGATCCATGAAATATCCCATTAAGACAATGACACTGTGGTTTGTATCTCAGTTAATTAAATGAATCATTTTATCTACCTCTTTCCCTGCAGCTCAGACCACCCTTTCACTTTCTGGGTCAACGTCCCTATCATGGCCTGTGCAAACTGACTGTGTTCAAGCCAATGAGCAGTGTAATACAGACCAGTCCTGCAGCTCCCGATACCGCAAACTACGCCAATGTCTTGGAGGAAGAGACAGGGATGTTCTGCTTTCCAGCCAGGAGTGTAAGACTGCCCAGGAGGTTGTCCGAGATAGTGCCCTCCATCTCTGTCGCTGTCACAGGGGCATGAAGAAAGAGCTGCAGTGTCTTCAAGTATACTGGGGAATCCGTGCTGGCCTGGCTGATGGTGAGAGGTGACCAGATGGTTACATTTTAAAGGAGCTCGTACTAGAATTTTTTAGGAGCTGGTGTAAAAGAATGCATGTTGGTGCAGTAAAAACTATTTATAGGATGAGCAGGCCAATGTCTAAGAGGCTCAGTGGGAAAGTATCATAATAAAGGGTCATGAACAATGTTTATTTTCTTTAGTGTAAGTCTTTATGGTAAAAGGCGTTGCTGCCTGTCCTTGCTTTTTATCTCTAAGGTTTCCTTGAAACAGCTTGCCTATTTCCCTGACGTGTCTATGTTACTGCCTTTGCTTATTGGACATATGGCCTTAATGTTTGTTTACTTTAGCCCTTATACATACTATTTCTATCCTAAGCGTTATGCATGGCCACTTTAAGGTTTGGTATTAGGCCTTTCTATCATTCCTTTTGCACCTTTGTTTTCTGAGGATTTTCTACTGGTCCTGACAGGGAGTCACATCCAGTTTTCACCTAGCAGAATTCAGTGTGGTAAGAAATATATAGCCCCTCGTGGATGGCCCTTAGTAGGGACTCTGCTTATTAGTAGTATACAGAGAGAAATATGGAATAGAAACAGGAAAATCATGCTATCTAGCACTTGTGAGACAGTTGAGATCTGGTATATAATATCAAATAATTGGTGCAAACTAAGAGGGAGTAATAAACTGTAAAGGAGTGGAAGATTATACATGAAAGGATAAGCATGCAATTACTTACTGCAGTTGGATATCTTTATTGATCTCAAGTGAGAGTTGTATCTGCTAAGACAAATAAATTTTCTTGTTTTGTTTGTGTATGGTTTTGATTAGTCCATAGTAGATAAAACTAATTTCCAAGAATTGCTAATCTGTATTACCTTCAGCTGTCCAAGATTCAATGAGAAACATTTTGAAATTCTATTTAGTGTGATTGCTGGAGTTATGTATGATATATAGAAGTTAAAACATGAAGGTAATACAATTTGTAGAGGAAGTGAATAGAAAAATGAAAGAATGGTGGAAATTGGGAGGATTTCATTACCTTGAGATTTCTGCTTTGATTGGAATTGTTAGATTTACACATAATACCTCAGCTACCCTTCATCAATTGTACCTCTCACATGTATTAAACTTTAAGACCCTTGCTTACAGAAATATTTCCAGTTCTATTAAAAGAATGCAGTTATACCCTAATTATAAAGACTGCCAATTCACTGCATGATAGAATAATCAAGATTCTTGTAGAGTCAGCAAATCTCTCACAAATAAGTATATTCAATTCTAGGATTTCGTTTTAGAGAATTTTAGGGAAAAGCAGCACAACTCAAGATTAGCTTGTAGATCACGTGCCTATTTTCTTCCTTTAGAAGACCAGCACACTACTGCTTCTAAGCCCAAAACTATTATAATGTGAATATCACATCTAGTCATCTGGTTACATAAAAATAAGATTACAAATTTTATTCTGTCTTTCATAGTTGAATTATTTCATGCTATGGGTAGACTGTATCAAGATTCCTACTATCGATAAAACCTATTTAACAACTCTTGTCCAGGCCAAAACAAAGGTAAATTCAAAGATTGAACATTATTCCCGGAGGCCTATTTTTCCCTAGAGAAAATAATTAAGGTACAACAATCAATCACAATACTCAGATCACTTGTTGATTTACCCATTATTGCCCCATTGCCTTATTCTTCTTTTCTTATCCAAGAACAAATGTTGTAAATACTTTAAACGGGTGGTTATGAAGTTCATGATATGTAATGGCCAACCTACATTTCAGGGATTCATAAATATTTTTTTTCAAAAGATACATGTGTAGTTGGGTATCTTGCCAATATACTAATACATCAATTTGAGCAGCATTATTAGACATAAACAGACATTGCAACGTTTTGGTCCACAATGGGGCCTTTGTCAAGCTAACCACAAGTGATATCCTTTATAAATAGTAATCAATTAAATAATTAACACGGTACATATCAAGACATAGATAATCGATCACACATCACATTAATCGCATGTTAATAATGCATTCGAATAAAACATAAAAATTATTAAAAAACATTATAAAGTTTAAAAATAAATTTTTAAAAAATTACCTGCATGCAAAGGGACATCAAGATCTTGTTTTGGCACAGTACTGCTTAAAGGTTGCCTACCTCTGCTCTAGAGCAATGATAGCTATCCCCCTAGGCCTTTGTTACTACATTTCCCCTTAATATCAACTACCACATTTTTTAGACACAGACATCATTTTCTACACCTTAAAATTGCCAGTTTAAAGTTGATTTTAACAGATTTGCAGGCTGAGAAGTCTCCCAGTTTTAGACAATTATAATTCTAGATTGCTTCCGAGTGCCGACTAACAACACGGATACATGGATTTGCTAATTTTTTATCAAGAATATTTACAAGCTAGTGCAAAAATCAACCAAACAGACAAAAGTAGACTACATATGTAATCAAGTAGCATTTGAAACCATTATAAGGTTATATTTAATTCCTACTTTTTACAATATTAACTATATTTTTGAAGTTGATGTCTCTAATTGCTTACTTTTCAATAAAACTAATATCTGCCTCAAACAAATCATTTTTCTTTTAAAAATAAAATATTATACAGGCTCTTTGGTAGGCAGACTCTTTTGGAGGTACCCTTGTTCCTATACAATATTACACCAATCAATGTATCCTTAAGCTACTCAAAACTGCCATGAGTATATTCTCTAACTATGGATATGCAGTATTTTTTAACCCAAGGCCCAAAACCCCATCAAACAGCACCTGATCACCTTGCTGGCTTCACCATATTGAGGTAAGCCTTCTCCTGCCAAGTTTATACAAGGTTTCCTTCTTTCCAGTTTTGACCTGGTTTAGCCAATGAGAGAAAAACTCTGTATCATACTAACTTCTTCTGACCCAGGCCACAGTCATGAACCCATGTCCAAGGGGCTGTATTTGATGTCCCATCTACCATATTACTACCAAAGACTTTGGCACCTCTAATAGCATTTGTTAAAGGATTACAAATGAAAAATAACAACCTTGTTGTATAATATGTAACATCTCTACACCCAAGAAAGTGTCTCCATATTTATGGATCAAAAGTTGGTTGCAGGAACCGCACTCACTCCCAACGGCCACAAGTGTTCTGGAACAGGACCAGCAATCCAAATACGACAAGGCAATAAGAAAGATTCACAGGCACTCCAAATGTGAAAGCCGCAGGCAGATTTATTGCAACAAAATGAACAGCAACGTTTCAACCTAACAAGAGGTCTTTGTCAAGCTATCACCACACAGTAAATAAAGTGCATATATAGCGAACAGTGCCAGAGAGCAAATCAATCAATAATTCACTTAATTCATTAACAAGAAACATTAATTAGTGCAAAAATACATTTTTAAGGATACAATCACGTCGGCACAATGGTGAACGACACACAGCTTGTGATCTGTTTCCCTCTGAAACGTAAATGTTAAAGCAACCCTGGTTTTGCTTTTAACTTTTTTGTTCTCTATTTCTCAGTCCTTGGTTTTTATTTTTTTTTAAATTCTCCTTAGTTTTTTTTAGGGACTACTTCTTCTAAAGGAGAGCATGAGTTTTGGTGCATTTTGGCAATGGGTGGAACTAGAACAAAGTTCCATAGCACAAAAAAATTAAAATAGGAGGAAATCTGAGTATCCAAAAACTAAATGGAAAAAAATTATAGTATTGATATAGTGAGGCTGGTATAAGTGGAAAGATACCTAATTAAGTCAAAAAATGACTGAACAAACAAAAAAATTGAAACTTGACCTTTAATAAATACTGGTTAAAAATTGTGATTAACAAAATTCAGCAACACCCACCAATAAGAGAAAACACATAAACAAAAAAATAAAAATAAATAATAGACTACAAAGGGAGGATCTACTAAATGTAGAAAGAGTCTACCTATGTTCCTATAGATCGGGGTGGGCAACCTTTGGCCCTCCGGATGTTGTGGACTACATCTCCCTAGATGTTTTTCAGCATTATGACTGTAAGAGCATTATGGGAGATGTAGTCCAAAACATCTGGACGGCCGAAGGTTCCCTACCCCTGCTATAGATAAATGAAATATAGAGTAGGAAGGGTAGGTCTACTAAATTAGGTAAAGTAGTCAATTGACCGTGTACTGTCTGAAGGTACATAAAGATAGCAGTAAGAAACAGAAAGCTTGGCAGGTAGGCAAGTGATTTCTTCAAAAATTTTAAATGGCAAAAATGAAAAAAAACCAAGAGATGGTATATTATAACATAGATAATATTAAGATATTGAAAAATAATTACAACAGTGTTTTTTTAAGCAGAGACAGAGACATAATCACATATTACATTTTGCATGTATCAGATCCTATTCTATCTGAAAATCTTTTTTGATGATATATATATATATATTTTTTTTTTACCTAATATGATGTTTTGCACAAGCTGAAATTATGAGATTGTGTTAAGCTGTTCATAAATGCTTTTCAAATTGTGTTTGCTTAAAAAGCCTCTATACTACAACATGAAGTGACCTATTACAATACAACTGAATGCATCTATTCAGCACATTTGGGTAAATGAAAGTGACTTTCCCTTGTTAACAACCATAGGCTACTGAAAAACCCAATATCTTAGAATGCAAATTCAACAAAGAACAAACAGCTAACGTTAATTCTCAGTACAAAGAATTGAAATTGTAGGGACTCGACAGGCTAATGTTGTTCATCTTTTTATGCTATATACTAAATAAATACATAAAAGTAGTATTAATAATATACTAATAAATACAACTAAACTTCCTCATCTGGTGAAAAAAAAATACTCAGGATTCACAGATACAGCAGTGAAATTTTGTCAAACCAGGAAGTGGCATTCAGTCGTGATGCTCCCTTCTTTTTCTATGGGGGTTCTAAGCATACCCTATAAATGCCTGCACAACAGAGCTTTATGGACACAGCAGGGGTTTCTGGGAATTGTAGTTGAGATGTCAGCCTTCTATGGTATAAATGACAGCAGAATTACAACTTCCAGAAATCCTACTGCCCTGCCTCTCATGATACTGCGTGTTGATACGTGTTGACATCTCTGTGGATCTATGTTTGCATATTTTTTTAAAAATACAAAACATTTCTATGAAACTGTGTTTTTTAGATTTTGTAATATTTTTGGGAGATTTAGGCTGACTCATTCACATCGCTCTGTGTTTGCTTCTGCTGATATTAAGAGGTGCTGAGTTTACTGTGGTCTTTTTATGCTTGCTTGATTGCTTGCTTTTTTACTTTAGCAACAAGTCATTTTATGACGTGCATGCCTACATGCACATCGTAATCATATAATCATATAATGGTTATTTGCTATTCATGGGACAGTTAGGATAAAAGGTATATAGAGAAAATGTTAAACATTGAGAAAAACTGAACATGGTAGAGAATCCGTTATTTAGAATTTTGATTGTAGATGTCAGTGTTTCTGTAGACAGAAATTATTTGGTTTGCGGGAAAGATGGATGATGGATAGATAGATAGATATATAGATGGACGGACGGACGGACGGACACACACACAGACGGATGGACGAATGGATGGATGATGGATAGATAGATAGATATATAGATGGACGGACGAACACACACACAGACGGATAGATGGATGGACGAATGGATGGATGGATAGATAGATAGATAGATAGGTAGGCCTTACTTTATGTGAAAAGAGAGAGTTTCAGAATATACATTGTGAAAAAGAAGATAGAGATTAAAACTGGAATAGTGATGTGACTGTATGGAGTAGTTGGCAAATATTAATGTAAAATCTGTGAATGATGAAAGAATACAGTTATGGCTAAAATATTGCAGGATAATGATGGCGTTAAAAGAAAATAGGATGTATTAGCACATAAAAATAATAGTTGGAGAACAGGAGATGATCATTTGAACTAATAATGAGTTGGGTGTAAAACAGAGTAGCATTGAAGAAGAGTGGGAAGGACAAGGTAAAAGAAAATAAAGAAAGGACAACAAAACACTGTTTTCCTTCTCTGTGAATGCTCAATGTAGCTGTGATAAACTCTGCATGTCTTCCCCCTCAGGAGATGAATTTTATGAGGCGTCACCATATGAACCAGTTGCCCCACGCCTATCTGACATCTTCCGTCTGGCATCAATCAACTCTGGTGAGTGAGGAACACAAATTGACATAGTTACAGATGCGGAAAGGAACTGAATGTCAGTACATGTTCCCTGCACACTGGGAACACATTTTAAGAGTGGTGTCTTAATTAATGGCATGGTGTGAACAGAACTATGTACTGTAACTGGAAAAAAATGAATTCGCCATCAGTGAACTATAATTCATTGTACTTTCAATGTGAGATAGACATGCTGAGAGAGGCAGATGCATAACATCTGATTTAAAGATTGAGACACATAAGGGAATTGTGAATAAGAGTACCTTGTTCAATGATAGTCGAACAACGTATATGCTAGTGTGCTCTCAGAGATTTATCTAATTCAAGATGCTCGTATTTAATGCAGGGCAATATGTTGTGATTGAGAGATAGTTTAAACAAAGGGACACTATAGTTACCAGAACAACTACAGCTTATTGCATTTGTTCTGGTGAGTAAAATCATCCCCTTCAGGCTTTTTGCAGTAAAAACTGTATTTTTCAAGACATGTTTTAAGGACATTACATCAAAGTTGAATCAGACTGTAGTGTGTTTTTCCACTTTAATTTTGAATGTGACTCCAAATCCAGACCTCCATAGGTTGAAAAATTTGATTTCCATTTTTTGATTTTTATGTGATTTTGTTGTCAGCACATTCAACTATGTAAAGAACAAAGTATTTCAGAAGAATATTTAATTCATTCAGATCTAGGATGTGTTATTTTTGTGTTCCTTTTATTTTTTTGAGCAGTGTATATCATTGCACTGTGAATGGGAAACAACTGTAAATTAGACAGAGTTGTAAATGTAAGGTAACCCCCAGTTGTGAGTGAGATTTAGCTCAGTATGCTGGTAACTATCACTCTGAGTTGCGAGTGAGAATTAGCTTGCTCAGTGCGGTGTGAGTGAGTTTTAAGCTCTATATATTTTGATTGAAATTTACATTGATGCTTGCTGTGATAACAGGTGCTGATCCAGTCTCGTCCAAGCATAATGCCTGTCTGGATGCTGCCAAGTACTGCAATGTGAATGATATCTGCAAGCGGCTGCGCTCAGCCTACATCTCTACCTGCACTGCAGGAGCAGGAGACAAGACATGCAATCGCCGCAAGTGCCAAAAAGCCTTGCGTACCTTCATTGAGCGTGTCCCTTTGGATCTTTCATATCCCCTGCTATTCTGTCCCTGCCGGGACAAGCCCTGTGCAGAGCGACGGCGCCAGACTGCTGTGCCTGACTGCTCGTTTATGCGTTTAGAGATCCCTAACTGTCTAGAGATTTGGGCAGGCTGTCGACAGGACACAGTGTGCAGGTAACAGTTTAAAGAGCAAATGATGGACACCTTACTAATGAATCGAGCTCCTGAGAACGACCACTGACAATGCCTTTCAGTCTACAATGAGCGATAGCAGTTATACAAATAAATACAAGATATGAAGTAATTCTTCAGTATCTGTAGATTTATGTACTTCCTTTGTATTTCTCTTTTTTTAACAGCCCTCCCTGTCATCTTTCCCCTTTTCCCTTTCCTTATCCTGATCCTCCACATTTCCATTCTGAAGTAGGGGCTATCCACAGTAAGCGGCACCCTTTTAAGATACAAATTAGAAGGCATGGGGTGTGCAAATATGATTTACAAATAAACAAAAAGTGTTTGAACCCTTGAGATGAGAGATAACTAGGAAGTTACCATTGGAGAGGGGAAAACATTGTAATAGGAGAAAGGGTGTGGAGGTATGGGAGCATTTATAACAGGCTTGATAACATGGACACATTCCATCCATAGGAACCCATCCAACCTCTCCATAAGTGTTCTTCTGTACTCACACTTACCTCTCTATTCTGCAGGTCCAGGCTGGCAGACTTTGTTACCAGCTGTCAAAGTTCATCTCAGTCTGCAAGTGGTTGTGTTCAGGATAATTACCCTGCCTGTCTGGGGGCATATGCAGGGCTTATAGGTGAGTACTGTAAGGAAGAAAATCTGTAATAATACAAATATGTTTTATAAATAATGTGGGGTTTTAAATATTTATACCCACAAAATGTTGGTATCAGTTTATTTTGTGAGTATTCACCTAATTAGGTCTTTAATCTCTCTATATCCACAGGATTTGATGTAGCCTTGAACTTTATGGACTCTGATCCACATTCACTGGCAGTGGGGCCCTGGTGTACCTGTAATGGGAGTGGAGATGAGGAGGCTGTATGTAAACGATACCTCAATACGTTTACTCAAAACACCTGTCTGAGTGAGTGAGAGTTATGGGGATATGACCTATGGAAAAATATCTATACTGGATTTGTGTGGGTTGGTAAAAGGTGCAGTTGTCACCCACGTACCTCGAATAAGGTTGATGGCAGGATTCATAGCAAAGATGACTAACATATCTAGGTATGGGGGTGTCCCAAGAACAGATATGTTTTATAACAAGGGAGGAATTATCTGAAGCAGGAGGAACATGTGTGCAAAGAGCATTATGAAAATGGTGAACTGAGTCAATGTATTGAGTATAATACATTCATTGACATTTTTAAATATGTGTATGTTGTCAAAGCATAATGTGTATTTGACCTCAGAAAAATGTATATAGGGCTATACTTTTAGTAATGCATCTTACAGTACTTTGTTGTTGATCTCTTCCTAATTAATTATTTGCAGAGAAAGCTATTTATGCCTTTGGGAATGGCTCTGAAATTGGACACACACCAAGTGCCCCCAAAACTCCTCATACAACCATCTCACCCCGAACTGAGAGAAGACTTCTCCCCGACAATCAGAGTGACAGCAATATCCAGTATGAGGGTAACACAGGCATCTGCACTTCTCTACAGGTGGGAAAGGTCCAAAAATTTAATTCAAGTTACTTGAGAACTCAAAACACACCAGTAAACTACAGACACACTAAATATTTCCAGAATTGAATAGTACAGGGGCAAAGTGTTTGATTCAAAATAAATTATTCAAAAAACAAATGGTCCTCCAATGTGAGTAGAGGCAGGTGGGTTCTTTTCCCATTAGACATACAGTGCATCACCAGAGCTGGGTTCTTCACCCAGGACTTAAATGCCATACTTCATTAAACAGTTTATAATTATCCTTTTTTGACGGCAGATAAGAACCGTTTGGCCCATCTAGTCTGTCCAATTTTCTAAATAATTTAATTACTCCTGGCCTTATCTTAAGTCTAAGATAGCCTTATGCCTATCCCACGCATGCTTAAAATCCCTCACTGTGTTAACCTCCACCACTTCAGCTGGAAGGCTATTCCATGCATCCACTACCCTCTCAGTAAAATTATACTTCCTGAAATTATTTTTAAACCTTTGCCCCTCTAATTTAAGACTATGTCCTCTTGTTGTGGTAGTTTTTCTTCTTTTAAATATAGTCTCCTCCTTTACTGTGTTGATTCCTTTTATGTATTTTAAAGTGTCTATCATATCCCCCCTGTCTCATCTTTCCTCCAACATATACATGTTAAGATCCTTTAACCTGGGGGCGGAGCCTGACCGCAGATCAAATCAGACATGTTTAGTCCGAGCTCCCACATCTAAGCCAATAAATCTGAGCCAACTGCGTACCACAAACATATACTGATCTACAACAGTGATCTTATTACTTATCAGCCGACGGTGAACTCAGGGATACCCTATAAGACCCTACACGGTATCCCAGTAACCTGATCGAGGCCTGAGGCCTACCAGAGCTTGAGTTGAGGTGAGACCCAGTTCTCCGGCCGACGCTTTGCTGGGTTATCCCGGCTCCCACAGGCGACCACCAATGCACACAGCCACGCTTAAGCACTAGTCCTGCCGAGAATCAAGAACTGGGCAATTACCCCCAAGATAGCTGACTACCACAAGCATTGTGCACAACATGGTGTGGGGAGCAAACGGAGCACGTGTGAGGTCAGGACACAACGTATGGCAAAGGAACACGCCAGCTTCAGTGCTAAGTTATCTGCCTACCTTGGGCCGCCTAGAGCACCAGCTGTTCCCTGCAAGAACTTGGCCTTCTTTGTGAATAACCAGACTTGTGGCCTAAAGATGCAGGCCTTCACAACGGCCCGGGGCTGTGTGGAGGACTTGCTTGGACTCTGCTTCTTGCCACCGCACCACCCCCTAAACCTGATACCAAGCAGAGGTATGGGATGATTCGGGACTTTGCACCCCAAACACACAGAAGCTGGTGAGATGGCTCACAACTCGGACTATCCACCTAAACACAACATGTCTGCCTGTTTGTATATTTGTGTTTCTTTTCCTTGCCCACATACTATAACATAACATATGTTTAACTGCTTGTGTGAGGAAGGGCACCAGAAAGGGCATTTTACCAACGCATGCTTTATATGTAAGCAGACGCGACACTTTATAATGCCGACACACTTGCATATACCTAGCTCTGGCACACACCAGCTCCACTGGGCACATATACACTCGGTGCCCCCACCGCTATGCCTGTATTGGGGATACAGGGCCCGATACCTACCGTACACAAGCGTATGATGCGGGGTGGGAAACATGGAATCACAAGCCTGTTACTCTTCATAGTTGTATAAGCAGTTAGCATGTACTCACACATATCTAGCCTGCAACACTAAGCCCATCGCATGTTGTACATTCGAAGACACCCTGCATGATTTCTAATGTTTAATGACACTAGCCTGATTAAACGTGCACCAGTGAAACACAGTAGTTACCTCGCTTAGGGGTTTACCCTATTTAAAGTTGTTATGCATGTTTTTTGTTTCTCTTGTTTAACTCCTTCCGTATTCTTCCTGATCCTATTATTATAAAATTGTTCATGTCTACTCTAATATCCCAATTATAATATGTGAAACTCTGCTTGAGGATTGCCGTTGGAGTACCTCAAACGGTTCTGTTATATTCTTATGCACTGCAAAAATACAAAAAAAAAAGATCCTTTAACCTTTCCTGGTACTTTTTATCCTGCATATAATAAAATATCACTGTTAAATGTTTAATCATCATTATTTCTTATTATAGGAAATGAAGAATACCAGCCTGTCAGATCTGGCAATCTGTGTCTCAGAGGTAATATATAAAAGTATTACTTTAAAATATCTGGGGGATCCTTATAGTATCCTGTATTTATTGTTATAATACACATTACTGTATTTATTGTAAAAAGGCACATTAGAAATACTTACTAATCACAGAGTCACGCTCATCGAGAGAGACAGCCATCCTTTATTTTTATGAGCATTTTGCATCAATTGCATTCAGGAAACCAGTGTGTGTGGACAGCTTTTAACTAAACATTAGTACATGTCCAGAAATACGTTTGTTACATGTAATAAGGATTTTGGCTTGCATAGGCTATCACTAGGACACCATGTTACTTAGGTAAAACTGGTCTCTTATGCAGGTATGCTCAGGGGATTCGTTTTTTGTTGGTATAACTCACAATGACAGATGTTTGATACTAACAGAGTTATTTACCAATATGACATAAAACTAAGATTTAATGCCAGTGTTTAATGAACTCTGATTACTATATATACATATTATTATATTTTTTTTTTTAAACACCTGGGAACTCTATGATCTTTGGCACAGTCACCAACGATCATGTTTTAAAGTAGTGGCGGAATTAGTCATTATACCTTTATTGAAGTCAGTATAGTGACGTCACATGGGTCTGGAACTTATTATACACTATTCTCTGTTTTTTGTTCTCTCACTACAGTCTCAGCTCAACACAGAGGTAGCACCTGACTTGAAGACAGATGAGGAACATTCTGGAATACCTCACCTTCGACCTTCGATTCTGTACACTATTCTTACAATTCTCTATGGCATAGCGCTCTTTCCGTGATATATGTATTATGATCTCCTCACCCCTACTAAGATGAGATGGACTGATTCCCTAAAAGCGTTGTAAATAAAATTCCCAAACTCAAGGGGATGGAGATGAATAAGGGCAGTAATGTGGGATCGCACTTCTCTGCCAACCCTGATGTGAAACAGGGGGATGTTTAGCAATCAAGCTGACAAGATGTAATAAACTATGTAAGACTACTCATTTTTCTCTTTTGTGAAAATTACGCTACCCAGGTATATAAGGGAATGATACTGGAACATATGTCATATGAATGATGTCTGAAAGGGGTGCTGGAGGGAGAGGTATTGGGGTGGACATAGTTGGGGAATTTCAGAAATAATAAAGGAAAAATAAAATTTTGAAGAAAGATAAAAGATGGTCAAGAGAGGAAGAGAAGTGTGTGGTAGACAAGCAGAAAAACACACGCACTTTGTTGTGTTGGAATACTGGTAACATTGATTTAGTCATTCAACTAAATTACTGTCCCCTTTTCATGACTCATGAGAAGAGCACATTAAGCCCACAGATGCCAATGCGTGGGTGCTATGTCTACCACCCCTCTGCCGGAGATTGCAACAAAGAAAGGTCATAAGACGTCATTCTTCCCATCCTCTCGTTGGTATATGAACAAGTCGGTATATTGCATTTCTCCAAACCCCGCATTAATTTAAAAAGTTGCATTTTCTGAATTGTTTATCCTTTTAAGCTTATTGTAATAAAACAAAAAATTATAAATATTAAATATTTATTATAATAAGTTATTAGTAAATCTTCAACATATTCCACTGTACAGTACAAAGGACAAAACAAATATTTTTGGGGGGGAATGTGGATAGCCAACCCTGCCACCTAGAGCTTGCAATCTATAGGAATATTAATAATTTTGGAAAAAGGAATCCAAATGTATCAAAGATCTATGTACCAGTGTATGTCTCTCTATATGTGTGTAGACACACACACACATGCACAAGCAGTGGATACGTGTATAGTATGTTAGCCAAAATATATCGACCTGCCCTCAAAATGTGTTATTGATGATAAGTGTCTCAGTATGGATGAGCCTTTCGTAGATTTCGCGGGCCTTAGTGTAGTGGACTGTGAGGGGGTGATAGTTCATTACAAGATTCTTGCAGTTACTTAACACTTTAAATGCCAGTAGGTAGTTCTGCATATCTGGAGAGTCTGCTGAGAGGGGTTTAAAAAAATGAATCATTGCAGGTGGCTAGCAGGAAGGAAATTGTAAAACACAAATGAGGCTCAAGTGATTGTTAAAAATCAAGCAATGGTTTGATGGTGAGACACTTCAGGTTTCTCTCTCCCTGTGTATAAATATCTTTTTACAACATTTAAGTGCGCATTTTTCTTCATTTAATGGATTAAAAAATATTGACAATAAAGCCTCAGTCAATTATTGCAGTCTCAGGATTTACACTCAATCACATACTCTATCCACGGTTCATTAAATATACAGTCAGTATCATGTACTTATGGTTTAAAGGGAAACTAACTTGAATACTTTTGTGCTTATAAAAAATAGCATTTGTCTGTGTTTAATCTATCTTAAGATCTACTCACCTATATAGATAGAGACAGTAAAATGTATGTATTTTAAAAACCTGTACATTTAGAATTCAGAGCATAATGATACCCCCATGTCTTGTAGTGGCAAGTAACTTTTAAGACCTGGCTAGTAGCATAGAACTATGAATTTGAATATATATATATATAATGAAACATACATTTTATGAAACACTTTAGTTAGACTCTTCCCAGTATTAAAGCTGTTTCAGTTTACTATGATAATTAAAGCTACTACAGTAGCCAGCAAGATGCCCTCAAGAGAATGGCATGGGGTACTACATAGGGGTCAAGTATTACCTACAAGTAATACATATTAATGTGATGATGATTGCAACTAATCATATTAAAAGGCTAGGTGGCAGGAAACATAACACATTATAAAGCTAATTAAGTCCAATTTTTGATACAAGTAAAATATCCCCATGGATTTCATGCTTTCTATAGAGCCCATGGGATCTTATGAAAAGACACTGGAGAGGTCTATATAATATATTTGTGGGAATATTGCCAGGAAAGGTTCTAAAGCGTAATATAATCTCATTGTCAAGTGCACCTGCTTCTCAATTCCATTTATAACCAAGGAGATAATTATTTAGTGTTCTCATTATAGCTCGACTGAAGTCCTGCTACATATTAAACAGTATTAGAAACCTTTCCATTGTATTCATCAATCACACAAAAGCCAAACTACATAATGTGGATATTATACTTTTTCATAAGGCTGTAGACCAATAGTGTAAGTATGATGTATACATTATAAGTTATGTATCTTGCTGTCTGATTCATATTCACGTAATAATGTCATAGATAATTAATCAGTATGAGTACCTATATATATATATTTTTTATATCGCATTAATTCTTCATTTGGGGGAAACAGATTCCCACAGGCTAGTCCATTTTCTTTGACATTTCTATAGTTTATAGGTCCTGTTTATCCTACGTAATGTTCCTTAAGTACTAGTTATTATGATGGATTATCCTACCCTTCGTTCTGCAAAGTGTCTGTACAGAAGAGTTTTACCATCATGGTAGACATTCCAAATGTTCCCATTATATACACTAATGAGTATGTTAACCTCATCTTAAAAAAGCTCCAGGAGCACATTACACGCTTGTTTTCATGTTTAAAGGGGCAGGACATAAAAATGTTAATTTGAATGATACAAATCAGTTTTGCATCACCTACTTATTTTATATGCAAAATAATGGCGTATGGAGAATGCTTTTAAGATCTGCAGTCAGTGTGCTTCCTCTGATAATGTCATACTTTAATGAACCTAAGAAAGACTCCCATTGGCAATGAAGCTTAATGAGGCAGTTTTAGTGTGCAGATCATGTTTTTCAGGTTTCACTGCTCAATTCACTGCCATTTAGGAGTTAAATCACTTTGTTTCTGTTTATGCAGCTCTTGTCTCACCTTCCCTGGCTCTGATTGACATGGCCTGCATGAAAAAAAAACTGGTTTCACTTTCAATCAGATGTAATTTACCATAAACAATTTTATTTCTTGCTCTGTAAATTGAACTTTAATCACATACAGGAGGCTCTTGCAGGGTCTAGCAAGCTATTAACATAGCAGGGTATAAGAAAATCTAAATTAAACAGAACGTGCAATAAAGGAAGGATAAACATTAGATGACTCTTTACATGAAGTGTTTAGGAAGGCTGTGCAGGTCACATGCAGGGAGGTGTGACTAGGGTTAATAAACAAAGTAATTTAACTCATAAATGGCAAAGAATTGAGCAGTGAGAATGCAGGGACATGATCTATACACCAAAACTGCTTCACTAAGCTAGAGTTGTTTTGGTGACTATTGTCCCTTTAAGGCTCTTATTCTATGGAATGGGCTCAATTTTTTACAACATGGCTGCATAGAATTGCCAAAACGAAATAAGAGATACACCTTGTGTTGGACTAGAAACAAGACTGTGGTAATAGTTCATCTGGATAGAGCTGTAGTATAGTCACTGCCTTGAAACTAGGAAATCTGGTTTGAATCCTGGTTATATTACCACAACAGTAAGTGTCCCCAATGATATATATCTGCCTACATCAAAATCTAATAGATTGTAAGCCTTTTTCAAATACCCTTCAATAATTGTAAAGTGCTGTGGAATATGTTGGCATTACAAAAATGCTAATAATTAATTAAGGAATTAAAGGTACATTATAGTCACCAGAACCACTGCAACTTAATATAGTGCTTTAGGTGTCTACAGCATGTCCATCCAATGTTAGCATTGTAAGCACTGTCATTTCCAAGAAAAGGCAGTGCTTACATTGCTGCCTTGGAACATTTTTACTGGCAGTCATTCAGGCAGCCATTAGAGGTGCTTCCTATCTCAGTGTGTTCAATATCAACACGCTCTGGATAGAGGTGCTGACCGTTCCCCAAACAAATGCATTGATCCAATACATTTCTATGAGGAGATGCTGATCGGCCAGGGCAGCAGTTTGCTGAGATCGAGACAGGTACGGCATGAGTGAAAGGTTTTAAACCTTCAATGTCCACAGACAGGGAGGCCTAAAAAGGAATTCTTGCACTATAGTGTTCCTTTAAGTGCTCCTTTATCTGGGGTAAAATGTAACTAGTATCATTCTAGTACATTGTTATGTCCTGCCTTTAGGTACAAGAAGCTGGTTATCACTAGTATTATAATGGATGACAATCAATTCTTCAAATATTCTGTGTAAATACGGAGGTGTGCTGAAACTTTTTCTGCTTGGAATCAAAGTACACAAGTGGCTAAACCAGATGTCAGAGGTACCCTTGATTCAAGTTATTTGTCAATGATATCTTCTACTCAGCGGATTAGCCTTGTTCAAACTATGCTGCTGTTAGATGTTGACCAACAAGCACACTTGAAGTAGCACCACGGCTGTTGAAGTAGCACAACAGCCACTTGAAGTAGCACCAAGTGCTTGTGACTGCACTATTTCTGGCAGCAGTAAAACAATCTCATTGTGGTAAATAGACAAGCAAATATAGAAATCACTGCAAACATAGCTGAGATGTACATTAATTCATGTTAGTCTATTTTAGCCAAGTCTCCAAAACGCAGTGTTAAGAGAATAACTCCCTATGGTTACCTTCTAAGGATAAGCAAAGATGTAAGAACATGCAGACACCGATTCTACTAATATGTACAGATTACGAAGATTGTGATTACCAAGATTGTGTTAGTGTTCTTTTTATTGTTTAACAATCTATCAGATTATTGCTTGACTGGTTTTGTTTCAATTCCCAGCAATTCAGACAGGCCCTATTGAGAGCACTAATTAATTGTATCACTGATTGTTAATTGTATCATGTAACATCACAACTGGCACATCTGCTTCTGAGTACTGCATGAAGAATTATAGTAATCAAACCCCTGCATCTCTATAGCGTTCCCAGATGCTTTTTCTTTTGCACGCTTTATTTCTTGTAGTCGTTTATTATTTTATTCATTGTAGTTGTTTTTTTTGTTTGTTTTTATTTTTATCTATAATATTGTAAACTATAGGTACACATTATATTGTATAAAAAAAGGTGAAAAGAGTGCACTAACTTGAAATTTTACTTTTCTAACCATTGTTAAACAACACCAGTGGTAGGATAATTTTAGGATGTACTTAAAGGGCAACTGTCACTGTCCAGGACTTAAAATGTTTTGTTTAGTTATATATTTAACAAATATGTTTCTGTGAAATCTGAAAAGTTAAATTAAAGGGACAGTATAGTCACCAGAAACACTACAGCTTAATGTAGTTGCTCTGGTGTATATATTCTGTCCCTGCAGACTTTTCAATGTAAACAGAAAAGGGCTGTGCTTACATTGGTGTCTAGTAACATCGCTAGTGGCAGTCACTCAGATGGCCATAATAGGTAATTCCTATTCCAGTGTTGTGCAGTCTCCACCCTGAACGTTTTGCAGCGCATTTGCATTAGCAGTGCAATAGGCTCCCAATTCTTTCCTATGGGAAAGCATTGGATTGGCTGAGATTGTCAAGATTGATGATCTCAGCCATGGAGGTAGAGCTGGGCGAGGCCAGCCGCGAGAGATCAGAGCGGTGTGTTGGTAACCTAAACAGCCACTTCAGCACTTTAGCGTTAGGAATATATGTTTGTGTACCCTGATTTTTCTACTCCTGTGCGCTACGAACCACAGTGCATTCCACTTTTCGGAATTGTCTAAGCTTGTAATGCTAAACACTAATATGACCGAGCAGGTTTCCTAATGTGTCTTTCCCTATCGCATATTTAGGTTCCCATCTCTAGGACTCCCTGTGTGCCACACCCTTCTAATATGTGTCTCCATGTAATATGCACCTCAGGGTTCACTAGAGTGATGTTATCTTAAATTAATATAAAAAAATAGTTCAGCAATCATGTCACTTACCTTACTTATCTGATATATATCTTTTTTATTGAAATGTCAACAATATAAAAATAAGGAATTCAAAACCAAACAAACTGGAATTCAGCAATAACTCGTTTGAACTTAGGAGTTTGGGGGAAAAAACGTAGGAGTTTTGGGGAAAAAGTTGCACCTAAGATGCTTTACTTCACTGAGAATGAGTTACATGCACAGCATGTCCAATATCTTTCAGAGGGACAGCACATGATTAGCCGAATTATGTAGGGTTTCCTTTATTGTACAGTGGTTATAGTATCAGTTGGCACATGACTGCTGAAAAACACAATAAAGTATATTCACTACTACCTTCCACTACTACACAAGATTTATTCCAGACCTTGTAACACAATTGCATTCCCCAATGAGATCTCACGAAAGCAAGATTACAATTTAATGTTTTACAGAAATAGAA